CCAGAAGGAGCCCTGGGGTTCCAAATCCCAGCTTTCCAGCTCTCTGTCCATGTGCAAACCTTTCCCTTCCCCTCCTCGAACCGTAACTGCCTCATCTGTAAAATGGGAGCAATCACATAGGGGCATCAGGTCCTCTCAGAAGGAGCGGAGGTGTAGAAGAATTAATGTCAATTCAACAGAAAACGATCCTACCTTCTAGAGCTGTTGTCGGGGCCATGCCATGAAATGGCTGACAAGCAGGAAAGTCTCTGGATGCCATCAGACCCGTGTGGCAGGGCCTGCTGAGTCTGGAATTGTAGGAGATTGACTGTTACCTGGCTCCTCCCACAGGCATCTGGTCAGGGAAGGGGCAAGGTAGCCAGTGCTGTCCTTATGCCCCTGATCAGCCCATGCCAGCCTGCAGGGCCAAGGGCTGCCTGGGGGTGAGGGGCAGGAGGGGTTCCTGTCAAATGCTTGCTTTACCTCCTACCCAGCCACTGCCTCAGGGCACATATGGCTTCTGCAGCATGGTGATGTGGGTTGTCTCATTCCCATTTTTACTGATAAAGGAACTAAGGCCCAACAAGGGGAAATGATTTAACCAAGGTCACGTAGCTAGTAAGTTGCAAATTGAAACTAGACCTTGGGCTCCTGACATCTAGATCTGAGATCCTTCTACTCCCACCTGGTTCCTTATTCTCCCATGTCTGCATGTGGTAGACCTGTTAAGGTGGCTATAGGGGACCCTTGGGAACAGAGAGTTTGAGGTTTTATAGCACAAAGATAAACCAAATGTCTCACTGAGTTACAGAAGCTAAAGAACTAGAAGAGCACTTGGAAACCCCAAATCTCTTTTTGCAATGGGACAACTGAGGCCCAGAGAGGGGTATGGACTTGACCAAGGTCACACAGCACTCTAGCATCAACGTGGACACTATAACCCAGGTCTCTGCCTCTCTCCAGTGCTCTCCCCTTTTGCCCCCCCACCCCCTGGCCTGGAACAGATGCCCTCAGATGGGGGCACCATAATGCCAGGCCAGGCACTGGACACCAGCACTTCTGACAGACATGATACGTTCTCAAGATTCTTGACCAGACCTGAGAATCATGTGTTAAGATGATTTTGACCACGTGTCAAAAAAACCAACTAACACTGGCTTAAACCAGAAGGATCTTCAGTCTCTGCCTAACAAGCAGGCCACGGTCAGTGGACCAGCTCTGGTTCAACAGATCAACAATACGGTGAAAGACCCCGAGGACCTACCATTCACTCTGTCAGACTCATTGTACCAGCACTGTTCCCCTGCGCCAAGCATCAAGTCCTCCAAGTACGAAGCAGGGGTGGAGGCAAGGACTTATTTTCTTCACTGCTCTCTCTTTTATTAGGAAAAGGACAGTTGTTTCTAGGAGGCCCCAGCAGAATTTTCTTTATGTGGCTTTTGGACAAAACTAGGTTATATAACCACCCTAAACTAGTCACTGACCAAAGGGGTGAGATTGTTCCAATGGGTTCGGAACAATCATGATTCGTCCATGGGAGAGGACACAGTCTTGCCTGAACAAAGCCAGGTTCCACTGTCTTTGGCTGTTGGGTGGGGGATCCAGGGTTTGTGGTAAACTTTAACCAGGCGTTCGCCTCCCTACGCCTTAGGAAGAGGACCCAGGGTCAAGTGCACATATGAACTACTGACCACAGCCCAGAGGGAGAAGTTGTAGCAGCAGAACACTTCTTGGAAGATGTTCTGGGAGAGGATGCACTTGCTCTGGGCGTTGGTGGAATGAGAAAGGATTCTGAGAGTGTCGAAAGGAAGGAGACAGGCTGGCATAGGACAAGCAAGGGCACTGAGGTGGGAGCTCCAGGTGGGTTGGGGGAAAGGTGTGTCTTCGCCTTACCTGGAAGATCAGGTGTGCGGGGGCAGAGGGTGAAGCGAGAGTGCGAACCAGATTCAAAGGGCCGGCGGGTCCAGACAACAGGCGCAGGCAGAGGAGGGGCTTGGTAAGGTCTGCGGTGTGGGGCACGGAGGGGACGGAGGCTGGTTGGGGCTGGGACATCGCATGGAGGCCTCCGCTGAGGGGGGCAGGAGGAAGTTCAGGCCTGAGCCAGCCTGGGCACAGGCAAGGCACAGAATCACCAGTCCCAGACACCCCATGCTGCTGATCCGCTGTCTTCAGACCTGCAGCCTCCTCTGGCCGTGTTTGGAAAGCCCAGATCTGCTTAATAATAACTCGGCTGGTGCCTTATGGAGCAAGAGTTGCCACTCTTAGGGCTGTTACCAGAATTAGAAAAGTATCTACCAAGAACTTAGCCAGGTGTCAGGTCCTGCACCTTGCCCCATCCCCACACAACAGGTGTCCCACCTCTACTCCTGCTTTATGATTGATCCTCCTCAAAGTGGTGGTTTCCAGGCACCTGCGGAACTTTTCAAAGAGCTGTAGTAGGCTGGGCCACACTCCCAGAGACTCTGACTTCATTGGTCTGAGAGCGGGTCCAAGCACCAATACCCTTTAGAATCTATTTTATGTACTTTTTAATTATTATTTTTAATTTTTAAGTCATTATCTCTAAGTAGGCTCCACACTGAACGTGGGGCTTGAACTCACAACCTCAAGATCGAGTCACTTGCTCTACTGATTGAGCCAGCCAGGCGCTCCTACTTCTTATAGGTGTGTTATTGCAGTAGAAAGCGCTCATGGAGGAGTGTACAAATCATACCTAACCACGTTCCTTACAAAGGGAGCCAACCAATCATGTAACCACTTAGATCAAGAAATACAGCATGACTGGCTCCCCAGAAGTCTCCCTCATGTCCCCTCCCAGTTAGCAACCACCTAAGGTCTGACTCCTACCCCCTTAGCTTCACCTGCCTGTTCTGGAACTTTATATGAATTGAATCATGTGCCTATGCTCCTTATTACCTGACTTCTTTTGCTCACTCTGGCGTGTGAGATGCATCCTGTGAGCAGTGCTGGTTTGTCTGTTTCCCTGGTGCATACTATCTGTCATGTGACTATACCACAACGTAGGAATCCATTCAAACGTTGATAGACATGTGGGTAGTTTCCACGTGGTTTTACAATGAATAGCACTGCTATGAAATATTTTTGAACTCATCTTATGGTGAATACATGTACATGGTTCTCTTGGCCACAGGGCTGAGTGGAACTTTAGGGTCACGGGATGTGTTTGTTCAGCTCTAGCAAATGCCATCAATTTTCCAAGGTGGTTGTACCATTTGACATTCCTACCAGTGGTAGTGAGTCTTCTAGTTGTTTCACATCCTCCCCAACACTTGCTATTCCTTGTCTTTTCCACTTGAGCCATTCTTTTTTTTTCTTTTCTTCCCCCCCCCCCCTGAAAGCAAGTACAAATGGAGGCAGGGTCAGAAGGAGAGGGTGAGAGAGAATCTCAAGCAGGCTCTATGCCCAGCCAGGAGCCAGACTTGGGGCTCGATCTCAGGATCCCGAGACCATGACCTGAGCCAAAATCAGGAGTTGGATCAGACGCTTAGCTGACTGAGCCACGCAGGCGCCCCTCCACTTGAACCAATCTGTTGAGTAGACACACAGTGGTGTCATATTGGGATCTTAATTGGAATGTCCTCCTAAACGGTTAAAAAGTCAAGCATCCTCACATTTGGTTGTTGGCCATTTGGGTATCCTCTGTGAAGTGCCTGGCCTAGCATTTTGGGCACAGGTTAACTAGAGCCACAAGGGTACTGTGTAGCAAAGCACCCCAAATAAGCATTTATTGTCATGATTTGGGTCTGCAGGTCACTGCGGGGGTGCTGACATAGGCTTCAGGTTGTACGGTCTGGTCTGCCAGGTGGGGCTCCTCTGTGCAGGTTGGGCTCAGGCTGCCCCAGGTCGGTTCACTCTGGGGCCCCGTGGTTCCAGTGGGGAGCTCTTCTCCTGGCGATGCAGAAGAGCAAAACTCACTGCACAAGCACATATCAGGGGGCTGCTTTATCGTGCCCCCAACCTTCACTGGCCAGAGAAAGTCACATGGCTAAGCCCAATCTCAATGGGAAAGGGAGTGGAGGATACCCTGCCTTCAAGGAATGGGGAGTGAAAATTTGCCAAACAAACCAAATTATAGCACTGGTATTTTGGGTATTTTTTTAATGGCCTCATGTGGTTCTAATGTCCTGCTAGGGCTAAGAACCATTGACCTACAGTCACAGTGCATGTCAGCCAGTCAAAACAAAAACCAGGCTTAGTTGAGTTTACCTCATTTCCTAAAATCAGCGGATTCGACCAAAGTTCATTTCTCCCTGAGGCAAATGTTTTTATAGAAGGGAGTCTTTGGCATTATTAACATGATCGTGCAAACTGAAGCGGCGGGCTCGTGTCTGATTTATCTCTAACATTCTTAGCCCTAGCACAGCATAGAGATGAGGAGAAACGCTAGAATAGGATGTTGCTGGATAACTGGGAAAAGGAATGTAAGCATTGTTGTGTAAGCGCCACGAAGACATGGATTTTTGTCCTTTGGCATCATTATTGTATCACCAGTGTTTAGAGGAGTGCCTGACACATAGTAGGTGTTCAGTAGGTACTTTCTCAGTTAATGAAACGTGAACACATGTGTAGACAAGCTATCTGGAATGGCAAAAGGAATGGTGGATGAGCAGATGGTTAGTTGGGTGGTTAGAGGTATGAGTGGATGGATGGGAGGGTGGATGGATAAATGGACAGGTAAATGGTCAGATAGATCAGGGGTTGGATGGATGGATGATCAGGTCATTGGATAAATGGGCAAATGTGGATGGGTGATTGAGTGGATGGGTAGACAGATGGACACAAGGGAGAATGAATAAACGGACAGATGGGTGAATAACCGGATGGTGAGAGAGATGGGTATGGATGTGTAGATAAATAGGTATTTGGATGGATCAAATGACAAAATGAATGGATAAAAATTGATTGTGAGCTTGCCAGAGGAAAGCACAGCCTTCCCTGATGGTAAACCTAACTCTCTTACAAAACTGTTAGTGACCAAGCTGGTTTTGGTCTCCTTGCAGGGCCTTCTGATTTGCCGCTTCCTCGCCCCCCACCCTCCCACCCCCACGGAGTGCCTCTTCTGGTGGCCGAGGTGGGAGGCAGAAGAGGATGACCACAGAGATCAGTGCTCGGGGCAGACAGCGTGCCATTGGGCATGAGGAATACAGCCTGTATAGCAGCCTGAGCGAGGATGAGCTGGTCCAGATGGCCATTGAGCAGAGCCTGGCTGACAAGACTTGGGGCCCGACCACAGCTGAGGCCACTGCGTCCACATGTGTCAACCGCCAACCTGCCCATTTCTACCCATGGACCAGGTGAGCAGGGAGAGGCCAACTAGGACACCTGTGAGATGTAGATCCTGAACACTGTTCATCCAAGACCAGAGTCTCCTGGTCTGTAAGGGTGCGTGTTTACACCTTAATGACTTACATTTCTTATCCAAACCATCTGAGCTTTGGTGGGCCAAGCACCGCGGTAGGTGCTCTACTCGCTTCATCTTGTTTAACCCTCTCGAAGACCTTCCAGGAAACTCTATGCTATATTCCCATTTTATAGACAAGGAAACAAAAGCTCAGGGCTAGGAGCTAGTCCCAAATCGCACAGCTAGTAGATGGTGTTGCAGAGATGGAAACAATCGGTTTGCATCGCCCACGGCTTTGCTTTGTACCACCGGCTTTATGTTTGAATGCGGTGGAGCTGATGTTCTGAGTCCAAGCAGAGCTCTCAATCCTATCTAGCAGCCTCCCTGGGAAAACATGTCTGAGAAGCAGGTGACATCTGCCCAGGCAAGCCACCCTACCTCCTTGCTCTGGCTCCCCTGTCTCAGCATGACCTCATCCTCCCAGTGGCAGGACCACCTAGGGCAGCCCTGTGTTGCGCCCCTAGAGATGGGATGCGAGCCATACCTGGAGTTCCATATGTGCAAGTTTGAATATCCTAACAGCCACACTAAAAAGTAAAGACCAACAGGTGAAAGTAATTTAGGGTAATTTAGGTCTCAACTATTCTCATTTTCCGCATGTCATCAATATAAAATTATGAATGAGGATTTTATGTTCTTTTTGTCAAATCAAGTCTTTGGAAGCCAGTGTGTGTCTTGCACTCGCAGAACATCTCAATTCAGACTAGGTGCATCCCAACGGCTCTCTAGCCACACGTGGCCAGTGGCTACCATACCAGACAGCACAGATCCAGAGGGTACCTCCTTTGTAGGAGGTGGAAGCCAGAGAGGCCATTACGCATTGGATCTTAACGTGCTCTTAGAAAGGAAATATATAAATTTAAAAATGCTTTTGTTCAGCGCTAAGTCCAAGTCAGGTATGTATGTGGGGGTGGGTGGGCTAAGGGGTGGGCATTGCTGAAATGATGGTGTTGTATGGCCATGGAACATGCCTCAAATCTCATTGTCTCCAGGGGTACCTGGCTGACTCAGCCAGCGGAGTGTGAGGTTCTTGGGGTTGTGAGTTCCAGCTCTTGGTTGGGCACTGGGGGCTGCTTAAAAAAAAAAAAACTCATTGTCTCCAGCAGCCAGCTGATTGCTTTGAGGCCTTGGGCAAGTCTCTTAAGCTTTCCTGGCAACCAGAGATAGACCATCTCCAATGTCCAGTCCCAGCTGGCAGGGATGAAGTGGGTGGTGGTGCATCCCAGCCCTGTCCCCTGATGATACCCACCAGGCGCTCCCCAAGTGACTTTGGCTCTCACTAAGGCTCGACCTCCTCTGCCAGGCAGATGACGCAAATATCTGGAATGCCCCACACTGAGGAGCCCCTTCTTTTTATTTTTTTTTAAAGATTTTATTTATTTATTCATGAGACACACAGAGAGAGAGGCAGAGACACAGGCAGAGGGAGAAGCAGGCTCCCCATGGGGAGCCCGATACAGGACTCGATCCCAGGACCCCAGGATCATGACATGAGTTGAAGGCAGATGCTCAACCACTGAGCCACCGAGGCGTCCCTGAGGAGCCCCTTCTAAAGGGGAAGGCAGGCGGCCTCCTCGGGCAGCTGGAGGAAGTAGGAAGACTCCAGATTATGGAGTTGGCCCCAACTCCCATTCTGGAACCCAGCCTGAGAAACAGAAGCGAGGACTCAGAGCAAGGACTCTTCGTGGCCGGTGCTCTGGGAGGCCCTGGTTCCTGTTCCGGCTGGTTCAGCCCACGCCAGACCACAAGTTCCTCTTTCTCAGGAGGGGATCAGATAGAAAGAAGGGCATCCCCCCACCCCCGGGGCATCTGCAGCCTGTTCCTCAGTGTGGGAGCTTTCTGCGGAGTTCTGGGGACACTCAAAAATGTTAGCACTGAGTTGGCTCATGGGGTCCGGGTCCTGATCTCCTCCTTCCTCCGGTGGGTAAGGAAGCAAAGACCCACCATGGGACACAAATGCTGATCCAGCCTCCTGAGAAAAAGGCTCACAGAGAAGGGAAATGACTTACCCAGGGTCATGCAACCTTCACCTAAATTCCAGGCACAAGTAATGCAGGGGACAGGGTTCAGCCTGCATCTGCTCACTGTGGATGGGAGCTAAAACCTCCCAGATTCAGTCCTTCCCTTCCGTCTCTGGAAGAAGGGCAGGCTTGGGTCCTGCTGGGGAAGCCAATCCTTCCCCCCCAGATGCACCCTGAGTGTTTCCCATGTGGCCAGCACACAGCCATTCAGTTAACCCTTACAGAAGCCACGAAACGAGGACATTTTTGTTTTTTAGCTTTTGTTTATTTATTCATGGGAGACACAGAGAGAGGGACAGAGACACCAGCAGAGGGAGAAGCAGGCTCCTTGTGGGGAGCCCGATGCAGGACTCGATCCCAGGACCCCGGGATCACACCCTGAGCCAAAGGCAGACACTCAACCACTGAGCCACGCAGGCGTCCCACGAGGACATTCTGTACCCGTCTTACACACCTGATAACTCGGCAGGGCCAGGAACAGAGCCAGGTTCAGACACGTACCCAGCTCTGCCCATACTGCAAGTGCCTCTTCTCCCTCCTCCACTTTGAAGTGGGGTTTGGGTCTCATTGCAGCCTCCTCATACCCACAGACCTTCAGGGTCCCCGGGGACAAGAGACACTCCAGCTCGTGCTCACATTCCCAGTCACAGCCTTTCAGAAAGTACAGGACCCAGTAGGATCCTTTGTTTCCATCCAGAGACCCAGAGCAAGGTTTAGGAACACGACATCACACATGTCCCCAGCACTGTCGCGGATTGAAAATCACCTCCTCAGCAAATCCCGCCTGAGCACTCTCCCAGGTCACGCATGTCGCCCCCTTCCTTGCTCTCTTGACGTTTCCTTCATCACCCTGACTACTACTTGAAGTTTCTATGTATTTGTTCTAACCATGAGGACAGATGGCCTCACCCATCTTCCTGTGAAGCCTCCTGTCTAGCACACAGCACTCGGCCCCCCACAGACATCATCAAATCGTTGTCTGTGAGCGAATAATGAGTGAATAAAGTGAATGAAGAGGCAGCAGAGTAGAGTGGAAAGAGAAGTGGGCTTGAAGGTTCGAATCCTTCCGCTGTCACGTACTGGCTGCGTGACCTCGGCAAGTTACTGAGCCTTGCTGAGCACCGCAGGCTTATCTTCACGATGAAACCTTGCCTAGCCCGACCTGCAGTGTTGTTCTGCAAAGCAAGTAAAGTGTTGGCGCCTTCCTCACCTCCCACAGCTTGAATCGGCCTCCCCCCACCTCCTCCCTGAGCCCCCGGAATGCCCACCTCGTGACCGCCTGTTTCGTGGGCAAGCCTTCATGCCACTCTAAGGGAGGCATTATCTGGCCTCCTGAGAGTGTCCCCAACTATACTATATGACCTCTTCGGGGACAGAGAGCACATGTTGCTCACTTTTGCAACCTCAGTGCTTGGCAAAGAGCCTGGATCATTGTAGGTGCCCGAGAAATGTTTTTAGGCAAAGAAATGCATTTCTGAAACCAATAAAATGCTCTACAAATACAACTTAATGTTATCATCTCATGACCAAAATGGCAGCTGTGGTCATAAAGGTCAACCAAGCCTTGGGGATCCTAGAAATGAAAGCCACATCAGCGACCCGGAGAAAACAGAACATGCCCTTTTAAAGCCATTTCTTCCAATTTGCTTCTCTCCTACCACAATGTAAGGGATGAAGTCAGAAACAAGGCTTGGCCTCACACTGAGGGCTCCCTGAAAGGCAGACCCAGCTTCCCATCCCAAGGAGAAGTAGGGTTCATGCAGTCATGAAACAGGGAGCCCAAGGGTACGTTGATGGACCAGCCAGAGTGGGCCCAGGAAGCTGGGTCTTCCCAGTCTTTAAACTTCTGAATTTTTTAAAGGTTATATTTCTAAGAAGACAAAGGAAGAAAGCACAAAGTAGGAACTTGTTTGGGTTGGTGAGTGCACAGCTGCAAATAATTCACATTAAGCCACCCATACCTACCGTGCTCTTCCGATGTGCCAGCTGCCTTCTCATAACCTGGATGTGAACCAGGCCTCACCCCTCCCCTCCCCAAATTTGCAGTCTAACGGGGGTCCCAGACATACATAATGACCCAGCAGGAAGGGCGCAGCAGGGATGCCTGCCTTCAGTTTCAGAGGGACACAGAGAGGATCGACTCACTTAGTGGAGCAGGTGGGCTTTGCAGGATGAATAGGAGTTCGCTACACGAGCTAGAGGAAGCAAACCTCTGAGCCTCATTTTTCTCTTCTGCAAAAGGGAGCCGGATTAACTCTCCGTCACTAAGTGGACTCACAGAGGAGGAAATGAGATGCTTTGTGCCATGTGCCCATGTCACAAGGCTGGACACAGAGCAAGCACTCAACAAATCTCGGCAATGGGTGGGAAGCAGAAGTTGCTGCAGTTTGGAATTCACGTTCTCCTCTACATGGGACTCCTCTCTGGCTGCCCCAGAAAGAATGGATTGGCCCATGGGTAGGAGGCTGATTTCCGAGACCGGTGGGAATGGGGGTGGAGGTGGCTAGACCATGTGAGCTCTCCCTCTCTTTACCCAGGAGGGCTGGGGGCTGCTTCTCCTGGACTTTGACGTCCTGCCACGGCACCCCACAACACCAAGATTACCAATTGGGATGTTACCCTTTCGAAGGCTTTTGTTTGTTCTGTTTCATTTATTTGAATGTATCCAGCGCCTGCTGTGTGCCGGGCACTGTCCTCTGTCACCCGTATTGACGTAGGCTTAGTGTGAGGACCGGAGGAGAGGACAAATAGAGGGTGGCGAGCGTGAGGTAGACTCGTGTCCCTTAGCTCTCATCCCCCATTAAGAGGCTTGCTTGGGACGCCTGGAGGGCTCAGTGGTGGAGCGTCTGCCTTGGGCTCAGGGCATGATCCCGGGGTCCTGGGATCGAGTCTTGCATTGAGCTCCCAACAGGGAGCCTGCTTCTCCCTCTGTGTCTCTCATAAATAAATAAATAAATAAATAAATAAATAAATAAATAAATAAATAAATTAAATCTTTAAAAAAGAAAAAAGAGAGAGAGAGACCTGCTTGCCTCCCATCTTCAGCCAGCTCCAGCCCCATGTAATGTCTGTCCTTCCAGGGGCCAGCAGCTCACTGAGAAATGAGGGGACTCCCCACGTTCACCGAGCCTGACCCACATCTGAAGTAGGGGCCAGCGGGACTCCAGGACAGGGCTGTGGGAAGCTGGGTGGTGGTGATGCACCCCTGACCCCCTCGATCTGCCCGCCCACATGAAGGACAAGGGCCCTACCTGGGCCTCTTCCAGGGCATGACCTGTGCCCACATCCTGCCAGGTTCTTCTCACCTCTGATGACTCAGCCGTGGTGGTTTTCTCTGCTGGGAATCCCCTGCTCAGGCTGGGGGGATGAGGGGAAGTGGGGTCTGCAGCCTGGACTGGACTAGCTCCCCCTCTAGGCCCAGGCTCGGCACTAGGGCTGCTCTGGGCACCCGCCCTGGCTGCCCCTAATGCCAAGTTCACCACCAACTGCAGGCTCTCAGGGGAGCTCCTGTTCTCTCCCCCCCTTCCCTGGTGGCCCTATGGCTGGCTGTTGACCTCAGACATCTTGGGGATCAACCAAAGTGTCCTACTGATTTGCATCTCAGGCGCTAGCATAGGGCAATTCGAGTCTGTTTCTGCCTCTGCGAAGCTGGAACAATACAACCCCTGCCTCCATCCAGCTGCTGGGCAGCATGCAAGTGAGGCGATGCCCTGCACAGTCTGGAGGGACATCGCCGCACCATGGCTGCCACCCCTACCAGCCTCACTGGCCTGGTCTTGCTGTTGTTATTTTGCCCTCAGAGATAGTCCCGGTTTTAGGGTGGTGGGGTGGGCTTTAAGGGGCTTATCACCTTGCTAGTAATATCCTAAAAACAATAAGTGACAGGAGGCCACACACATGGGCCATGGTGTGGGTGGCCGGGACCCCAGGGTCCTGAGGACTGAGACCCAGAGCTTCGTTGAGACCACGGGGTGGGGACTGCGAGCTGAGCCTGGCCCCAGGCTGCCTTCCACCACCCCGAGCATGCTCCCCTTTCCGGGTGGAGGAGTGGGGCCTCGCTGGGGCCAGGCTTTGCACCCCCTTCCCAGGATGTGGTCTCTTAAATCTGTTTGACACGCAAAGTTCTCTCGTGAGCTCATTTCAACAAAGGCTCCACGGTGACAGCAGCAGCTATGAACCCCCCCCCCCCCGGTCCTACCTCCTCACCCTGCAAAGGGGGAAACTGAGGCACAAAGCAGGGCAGGGGCCTGTTCACAGGTGCAGGGCCTGCCGGAGGGGAGGCCTTTGATAAGCCAGAAAGAGGACCAGGAGGCAGGAGGACCCCAGGCCCATGGAGGAGGGGACAGCATCAGGAGCTCTGCAGGCCAACAAGAGTGTGCTCTGCTCTGCTCCCTTCCCAGCTGCAGCTCCATGTGAGCCCAGCGTGGCCACCCACCTCGTGGGGCCTCAGTGTCCCCATCTATAGAGGGCAGGGACACTGGCACCCACTCCAGAGGACTAACAAATGAGCCCACGCAGGGCATGTTCAGGCTCATGGTGCTCAGGAGGCAGTGGCTAGCGGCAAGGGGACAGAGAGGGGGACAGAGGAAGGCAAGGACACGATGCCAAGGATGGTGACCTGGCGGTCCCCCTGCCCCCAGGTGGCTGAAGCAAAGCAGTCGGTGTTCTTTCCTGCTCTCTGCCCACTCAGCCCTTCCCCACGACTTGGCCTCGCTGAGCATAGCCATAAAACCTGTAGGTTCTGGTCCCTCCAAGCAGCACCAGGGCGCTGGTCCCCAGTAGCAATGTCTTCCTCCATTCCACAGGGCACCCCGAGGGGCACAGGACACCAGGATAGCAGGCCTGCAGGGGTGTCCAAGGCACCAGGGCCCAAGCTGCCAGAAGTGTGGTCCCATCTGCAAGGTCACCCTCATCAGTCTGATACGTGGAGTGACCACCACACCTCTTTTCACCCCCTCCCGTCCTTACCACAGCCCAAGGGGGTGGGAAACAGGGTCACAGAAGCAAAATAACGATCCAGTCAATGGTGGACACGCGCTGCGCACCCCCATGCCCAGACCCCAGCTAAGCTCACTGGCTCCAGCCTCTTCAGTCTTCCTACCCTGGGCCATGCAGGGAACTAAAGCCCAGAAAAGTTCAACCTGTCTGATGTCACTTGGCCAAAAAGTGCCAGAGTCCAGATTTGAACCCGTGTCATCCTGATTCCTCGTTCTGGCCGTGACGGCCTTGTGCTCTAACTTCTGAACTGTTACAGTTCCTGCCTCTGGGACGGCAGGCCCCTCTGACGAGGACCCGGCCAGGTGGAGGTGGGAGTACAGACCTGGTTTGGCTTCCCAGCTATGCTCCCCTGTCCCCCCACAACCTCCAAGAACCTCTTGCCCATCCCCGTTGAGACCCAGCCTGGCCGGCCGGACGCTAAACCCCTTTCATCCAGGGACCTGCTGCTGACCCCTTCTCACATCCTCCCGGGTGAAGAATGTCACCTTGCTTCGTATCTGCCTCCCGCGTGGTTGGCTGGGGAGGGGGCCTGGGGGTGGGGATGAGGTTAACCTCATTGTTGTCTTATATGGTCATTTAAATCTCCCAGGGCTTCCTCCAAGGGCCAAAAATAATCCGGAGACACAGCAGCTGTGTCCAGCACACAGAGAGGACCCGGCCATCTGCTTTGGTTCTGAGCCCTGTGTCTGTCCCTCCATCCCCGACCCTGCCTCCGGCCATGACCCGCTTCTCATATGCAGAGTATTTTTCCCTCTTTCACTCCTGCCCTGCACCCTCCAGGTCGACGGTGCCTCCCGAGAACCCAACCGCCTCGGGCCCCAAGGGGCTGTTCCAAGGGGTCATGCAGAAATACAAGAACTCCCAGCTGGCGTAAGTGACCCCCCGGCCCGGCCCCCCGAGACCTTCCAAGTTCACCCTTCCAACTAGGGTTCGTGGGGGGCGGGGAGTGGGACGCAGGCACGCAGGGCCCAGGAAGGGGGGCGTTCTGGAGGGACCTCCCAGGTGTGTCCCCTTGAGCCCCAGCTGCTCCTGCTGAGCTGGGCTCAGCGCTCACAGACTCAGTTCCTCAAGGTCTGTGATTAACCCCTCCATGCCCCGGAGTGGGTCCCAGGTGACGGAGCAGCCCCCTGGAGACGGCCCCGGGATCCCAGAGGCCCAGAGGGGCTCGGGGTGAAGCTGATGAGTCAGCCATGCCTTCCCTGTATCTCAGTTTCCCCCCGTGCGTCACCTCGGGGATATGGGGCATATCCACAACGCTCACACCCATGGGTTTTGTTTTGCCTCATTGCTTTTATTTGCTCCACGCCAGGTGGTAAAATCCAGAATTAATCCAAGCTGCAGGAGGGGTTCTGTTTGCCTCGCCCGAGGGTGCTGGGCTAGGTGCGTCCTTGGAAAAGAGATCTGTGCTTGCCCTTCCCGGCTCCCCCATACGGACTCCAGAAGCAGCTAAAAGCAAAAAGAGGGGCCCCCTCTTCAGGAACCCCCATCTCCTTGCACCAGTTATGTTAGAGAGAGAAGGAGGCAACTGGCCAGTGCTTTGCGTCTCTTCCCAGCTCTTTTCAAACCTTGTCGCCCCCACTTCCTTGGTGCTGGGGGTAAAATTCTGAGGGTCTGAAAAGGGGGAGCCCAGGCTCTGGTCTCTGCACTGCCGCCCCCTCCTGTGTGGCTGCCTGTGAATCTCTGTCCGTCTCTAAATCTCCCCTGTCCGTGAAACAGGGTCACAGGGGACAGACTGGCCTCCCGGGTCCCGTCCGGCTCCTTGGTCTCCAAGGGTCTGACACCCCCGGCAGCCTCCCCAGCCCTCGGGGCGGGGCTTTGGCTGAACTCAGGGAGCAGCACCCCCGGTGCGCCCGAGAGCTTCAGGGTCCTTGCGCCACAGCTGGACTAGACCCAGGCTGGGCGGCAGGTCCTGGGAGTGTTCTCGTGACCCCGCGCACCCCTCAGTCCACAGGAACAGCCAGCCCTCCTCTCTTCCACTTCAGCGGGGGCCCCACAGGAGACCTTCTGGGGGAGACGGGATACCTACCCCACTGGGGCTTTTCCTGACACCAGCGGGGGCTGCTCTGGCCGCTCGGGAGAAGAGCTCGTCAAGGTGGTAGTGAGGGCGTTGATGGGGACTTCAGGGCTTATCTGGTAGTTACCCATAGTGCTCGCGGGTCTGTAACTTAACCAGCATCTGTGCTCTGAAGCTATTAATAACCAGAGAGGCTGAGAGTCAGGAGGAAGTGCCGCTCACAACGGAGGAAGCAGCTGGGAGGGTAAAGGGGCTGGCCTGATAAACCCTCCGAGCCTATCCTGGCCCCTGACGTGGGTGAGAGCCCCGGGAGCGACACATGCCTCCAGCCTCACCTTCTCCATCTGGGAAATGGGACCACTCATGCAGAACATTCCCAGGAGTAGATCTGGGAATGACAGCAGTCCTGGTCCTCACTGATTCAAGGATGGGGGGTGTGGGGGGGAAGGCAGCTCAGTGCATGAAAGAACAAAGTAGCAAAGAAGTTACCATTCACATGAGCCCCGGAATCTTTTCAATATTCAGAAGTTTTATTTTTATTTATTTATTTATTTTGATATTCAGAAGTTTTAAACTGTGAATTCAAATTTATTAATCCTTCAAGTATGTAAGCAGCTAAAGCATCTAGGGGTGAAGATGAAAGCCGCAGGGACCAAGGGGTTCCCTAATTCTCTTTTGGCCACCGAGGAGCTCTGTCTAAAAGAGACCCTCAGTTTCCATCTGTGGAAGTGAGTGAGCTTGCCGTGTTTCACCCCATTTCTTGCGGTCTTTCCCTGCAGAGTGCCCGCTTGGAGCTAAAGGCATGAAAGTACCCCTGGTCCATGGGAGTTCACAGGGGCACCGAACACTGGCAAGGCTGGATCAGAGCCCGCACGGTGGCTTTTAAAGGCCAGTGTGTCCTCCAAATGCTCAAAGGAGGCTATTGCAAAGAAGGTTTTGAGCAAGATATTTTTTAAAACTCTCAAAGAAACAAGCAAAATGCTAATAGGAGAGAGGCCATCTTTTTAGAAATAGAAGGAATGAAGGAGTGGAAATAATTGCTGGGGATCCTAGTTTCTGAATTTTTCCCTCTCGTCCATGATTTATTTTTTCTTTCTTTCTTTCTTTCTTTCTTTCTTTCTTTCTTTCTTTCTTTCTTTCTTTCTTTCTTCTCTCTCTCTCGGTCTCTCTCTCTCTTTCAACAAATATTTATTGAGCACCTATTATGGACCAGACACTGAGCTGGGCCCTAAGAGTGAAATCATGAGAGATGAAAGAAAAATAAAGAAATAAAGACACTGTTCCCGTCCTCTTGGAACTCACAGTCCAGTGGGGAGACAGCAGTCAAGTAGCCATTCAAGGACACGTACAGGCCAGAGGTTACAGGAGGCCTTATGATCAGAGGCAGCGAGAGGCTGACCTGGGCCTGCAGGCTGAGGTGGACAGGCCTGAGGAAGCAGTGATGGATAGCTGATGGACGGATAAGCTAGAGGGGCCAAGGTCAGGGCCAAGGTTGGGGCTGAGTTCCAGGGTACACCCACATGGGTTAGGAAGGATTATTTTCCTTATTGAGGAGGACACTGGCCGCGGGGGGCTGTGCACCTGTTCCAGACCAGCAGGGACAAGCAGGACCACGTGGTCCCACGGCTAGCATCGCCCCCGGGGCCACCTGTAGCCCTGCTTCCCCTCTGGGAGAGAGGCTGGCCCGCCCCACCTCTGCCCTGCTTCGGTCCCGAGGAGTGACCTGCCACTTGCTGTCACAGGCCTGTGGACCCTGTGCTGAAGGCCATCAAGGAAGGTGATGAAGAGGCCTTGAAGGCCATGATCAAGTCGGGGAAGAATCTTGCAGAGCCCAACAAGGAAGGCTGGCTGCCGCTGCACGAGGCGGCCTACTACGGCCAGCTGAGCTGCCTGAAGATCCTGCAGCAAGGTGAGCCGGCAGGCAGGTACAGTGAGGGGCGGGAACAGGACTCAGAGGGCAGCAACTCCTTCCTTCTGGAGCTTTGTGTTCTTTGCCCCTCAAATTCTTAGAGGGCGGGGTACAAGGCAAGATTATATCACCCCAAGCTGGGAAAAGGAAGTGACTTTTCCCCACCCACCCTGCTGTCACCTCTCCAGGCCTCTTGGGACAGGAGAGCCTAATTCCTAGAAAAGGAATGAGGGAGGGCTCACTCTTTTGGGAGACCCACTGCCAGCTTGTTCCAGAATGTTCCAGGGGCTGATCTGGTGTGGAAAACACCACAGCTGTGCCTATGCCCCGCCAAGGACATCCCCCCCCGCCCCAGCTGTGGGAACCTGGGCAAATCATGCCTCCTCTCTGAGCTTTGGCTTCCCCCAAGCCAGATGTGGAAGGGTAACACCTGCAGACAGGAGCTACCTCTGCTCTGTCCTGAAGCAGCATGAACCACAGATAGCCCACCACACGCTAGGGCAGGCACAGATGTATGAGAGAGACCTTCTGGCCATGGCTGCTAGGGGTGTGAGGGAAAGACAGGGTCATTCACAGAGGGGGGGCCTCGACCAGGGAAAGCTTCCCGGAGGAGGTGGCATCTGAGCTGAGTTAATACGACTGGGAAGCTGAAACAGTCCTGTGAAAGCGACTGAATCCAGGGCCAAGAGGATGGATGGTAAATTTAGATGGATGCTACACAGGTCTGTCATTGGAATTGGACGGAAATTGGGGCTACCTTTGTGTTGGGGAGGAGGGGGTATCTTCCCCCTTTGTGAACTTCCCATCTGTTCTCTCCAGCATACCCGGCAGTCATTGACCAGCGCACTTTGCAGGAGGAAACGGCCCTTTACCTGGCAACGTGCAGGGGACACCTGGACTGCCTCCAATCTCTGCTCCAGGCTGGGGCTGAGCCTGACATCTCCAACAAGTCCCGAGAGACACCGCTCTACAAAGGTGAGCCCGCCAGGGTGGGCTTCCCTGGGGAAGGGCCCAGAGAGTAGGGAGCACTTGCTCCCCCATCCCAACCAGGGGTCTCCTCTGAAGGGGCAGTCTTATTTAGGCATGTAACTTGTATAATTGAGTCATTCCTTCATGCACCTGTTTGGGCCCTAGTTCCCAAGTCCTCCCATGAGCCAGGCCCACTGAGGAGTGCCAAGGGCCCAGAAACAAAAAGATATGATCCGTGCCCATACGCTCTCCCAGCTCAGTGCACACAGACACACAGACAACATAACAGCCAGCTAATGGCAGCAAAGAGCTTGGCATGACGCACCTGGGAGCATGGGGGAGGGCTCTAACACTAGGGGTGAGCCCCCACAAAAGGGGATGCCTGAGCTGAGCTGGAACAGGAGGCAGTTATCAGCTGGACAAGCAGAGGGAACAGCAGAGGCAGAGGCAAAGAGGTATGAAAGAAAATGTGTACCTCTGGGATGTTTAAAAAAAACCTAGAAACCCCTTGCTCATTCAATATATCATCCAAGGACATTGGCATCTCTAGCAAGTGCCCAGAGTCAAAATCTGAATAATCGTAATAGCCGGCATTTACTGAGTTTTTATTATGTGCCAGGCACTGTTCTTTAACTTAACCCTAATATCCAACTACATATGAGACAGGCACTACATAGGAAGTATCCCCATTTTACAGAGACACGAAACGGGGCACCCAGGATTTCACATATTCCAGCAAGGGGCAGACCCAGGATTTAAACTCAGGGTGCGAGTTGCCAACAGCACACTCTGAACTATGACATTATAAAGCATTCAGATCACGCCCACATGCTTAAGCAATCGGCCTTGGGGCTTACAAAGATGATAGGACCTTTACACTTTGAAAACCAACAGAAAGCCCCCATTTTCCCAGGTGCCTAGTATCCAGGACCTGGAACATTCCATGGGAAGCAGGAACCTGGTAGCCGGGTCTGCTGCACACCCGCGGTGGAAGCCACATCTGCCTGGGCACCAGAGCCATCGCCTGGAGATGCAGGTGTCCCAGAGAGAGCTCCCAGAACACTGGGCAATGCTCAGCCACAGCTTCGGCCCTGGTGTTGCACGCACTCCTCCCATGTGCCAAGCACCATGCTAGAGCGTCCCTCGCACCCGGTGCTCCCACAGGGTCCTCTCAGGAAGGTCTCGTGATCTCTGGCTTGCAGGCGAGGAAACCACGACTTCGAAGGGGGTAGGGAGCTTTGCTGGGGTCCCTTCTCACAATCACCCCAATCAACCCAAAGAAGTGGTTCATATGGACAAGAGCCCAGCCTCCCTGGTGATAACCCTGGACCAGAGCAGGTTCTTGAAAGCGATGAGGCTTAACAGAGAGGTCTGAGCAGGTTGAGAAGACTTGATGAGCTGTCCTCAGAAGACATATTTGACTTCAGTTTAAGTGAGGGGGCTTTGAGGAAGGGTTTTGAGCAGGAGTATGACCACACTCCTCCTCTTCTGATGCTGGCAACGTGAAGAACTAAAGCAGGAAGCGCTGCAGAGGGAAACGAGTTAGGGATGCCCTGGAATCTCCCAAGGGACAAGGACTCTGGGCCCGAGTGCCTGAGCTTCAATCCCTGTTCTGACACTAGCTGTGTGACCTTGGGCGAGTCACTTAACTTCTCTCTGCCTCATTTTCCTCCTCTGTGAAAAGGGATAATAACACTACAGCCTTTGAGGGTGATTGGGAGAATTCTGGGTTATTTGGTCACCTAAGGTGCTTGGAACAGAGTGCCTGGCCCACAATCAGTGCTATATACCTCGGCAATTACTGCTATTAGGATTACTATTATTTTAGGTGTATATCCCAGGTAAAATGCAGGGACTGGACCTCAGTCTGGACCCAGTGGGTATTTGTTGAATGAGTGGCTGATGGATGAATGGGGGAACGGCCAAATAAAGGAACGAAGTCTCGGCCGCCCAGGTCCTGCCAGGGCCTCGCTGACCATCTGGCTTCTCCCCGGGCACAGCCTGTGAGCGCAAGAACGTGGAGGCAGTGAGGATCCTGGTGCAGTACAACGCAGACACCAACCACCGCTGCAACCGAGGCTGGACAGCTCTGCACGAGTCTGTTTCTCGCAACGACCTGGAGGTCATGGAGATCCTGGTGAGCAGAGGCGCCAAAGTAGAATCCAAGAATGCCTACGGCATCACCCCCTTGTTCGTGGCTGCCCAGAGTGGGCAGCTGGACGCCCTACGCTTCCTGGCCAAGTACGGTGAGTGCTAAGGGTCCCTGGGTCATGTAGCAGAGTGGAAGGGGCACAGAGGTCTCAGGGGAGGCAAGTTTAGGTGTCGCCTTGCGGACATACTCTGATCGAGTGATAGTATCTCCTGGGAGCGCTGGGGTGAGGATTCAGAGGCTGCGTCTAGGCTCAGTGGGAGACGTGCTGAGATCCACCAGCGATGCCTGCAATTAGGCACAAACCTGGGGTGGAGGGGGGAGTGGCACACGTGCCATATGTTTGCCTCCTCTAATCTAGCCCAACATCCTCATTTTACAAATGAGGAATCTGAGACCTAGAAAGGGGAAGTGACTTATTTACAGTCACGTAGCAAATTAGTGGTGGAACAAGCCAGACCCTTAGGCTCCTGACACTTCTCCTTCCACCATGTCACACTTTAAGGCCAGAAGGAACCTCAGGCAACGTTTAGGTCACCCTCCTCATTTTACAGGTGACGAAACCAGGGACCGGGGATGGGAAAGTGATTTGTCCAAGGTCACACAGTGAAGTAGCGGAAGAGTTGGGATCTGAACCCGGAACTTGGCACTCTTTGCCTGGGGAAAACATCTTAGTCACTTAATGGGAGAAAATAAAATACTACTGCCTGCATTGGAGAGACCCCGTGACAATGGCAGACATTCTTCTGGCTAAAGAGCATCATTATTCTGTTCTTCTCCAAGAACACCTTGGATTTCTTCTTTCTCTATCCATAGGGAGTGAGCCTCCCTCTCTAGCCACAGAGAGGCCAGGGGTAAACCAGACCCTCCGGCTGAGTTTAAGGGGTTTGTTGAGGACCTACTGTGTGCCAGACACTGTGTTGAGCATGAACACGGACTAAGCCAATGGGATTTTCTCCATAGCTGTATGAGGTGGAGGGTGTCCTCATCCCATTTGGGAGATGAGGAGACTGAGGCTCAGAAAGGTTAAACGATCGGTCACGATCAGAGCCTAGACTGCGACCACAGCATCCGACTCGAGGCTGCATGCTTCTTGTGTCCACCGCAGGCCTCGAGAACCACCACCGGGGGACTCCGCTTGAATAAACATCCATTTACTCAGCACGTGCCTTAACAGATGGGAAAACAAACCCAGGGCACTTCCTAGCAGCCGGGGACACATCTGGACTGACCAGCTTGAGAACAAAGGGGCAGAGGCAGGGTCCTGGGAGCCCAGGCAAGGAGGGTTGGCAGAGGGCAGGATGCTCAGCCAGCAAGGGGCACGGGCCAGCTCCGAACATCTGTCCGGCTCTCCTGCCGACAGTCTGAGTCAAGGTCTGCTGAGTCCATTTTCAAACCCAAATATTTTTCTTGGGAGAGCGGGTGGCTTTGCTGGTAGGGTCCAGGCTTCCAGGGAGCCTGACCTCAAGAGCTTGGACCTGGTGGCTGACTTTCCCTCAGGGTGGAGAGCAGAGCCAGCCTCTGCGCCCCGCTCCCCCCATCCTGGAGAACTGGCATTTGCTGAGCACCTTCTCTATGCCAGGCACCGTGCAGGAGATGGTCTTGGTCTGTTCGTGCTGCTATCACAGAGCACCGCGCACTGGGCGGCTTAGAGACTGCACATGGTTATTCCTTACAGTTCCAGAGGCTGGGAAGTCCAAGATCAAGGTGCCAGCAGATTTGTTGCCTGGTGAGAGCCCATCTCTGGTTCATAGACAGCCACCTTCTCGCTGGGTCTTCACATGGTGAAAGGGGGCCAGGCAGCCCTTGGGGGTCTCTTTCATAAGGGCATTAATCCCATTCAGATGGCAACTCCACCCTCACAACCTTCGCACCCACCTCCTTACACCATTGCACTGGGGATTCGCTTTCAACATATGGATTTTCAGGGGACACGAGCATCCAGCCCACAGCAGATATTTGCATATTTTATCTTATTTACTCCTCGAAGTAAGGTACTATTTTTTCCTGGTCAACAGATGGGAAAACTGCGGCCCCTGAGGGCCACCCAAGGGCCACAGGGCTTGTAAGCCCTGAAACAGAAACTTCAACTAGTTCTTGTTTCTTGCAAAAACCTGTGTGCACTTTCCACTAGACCAGAAGCCAGTTACCAAAATTGAAAGCTACCAGAAAGCCTGAGATAAGCAGAACGCCCAGGCAGAGCGGAGCTGTGGTTAAAGATGCTTTGTGATCTCAGCTCTTACTGACACTTCGGTACTGTCTCAGCTCTATCTCCTTCCAGAAGAAGGAGGGACTGGTGAAGAGACCGTACCTCTTTTTGCAGAGAAACCCATGGGTCTCTCCCTTACCAGCAGGAGATGGAGAAGATGTAGGAGACGAGGCTGATGGAGGGTGTCCCCAGTCGATTCCTCGCCTCCCAGCATGCTCTCATGCCCTCTGCGGAGGAGACCCGAAGCAACCCCTCTCTTACTCCTTGCCATGGAAGGCAGAGAAGAACAAATTCCTATTAATAAAGTTTTGGGGGCCTTTCCTTCCTTATTAAGGGGCTCTGCATGCTCCTAGAGCCCAGGGGCTTCCTCAAGACAGGCCCCGGATCACTTTGACGTGGAGAGCAAGGGTGAAGAGCATCATAGACTCTGCCATCAGACCATCTGCAGGGGCCTCTGCTGTCAGGCCATCTGGGTTCAAGTTTTGGCTCTGCACTTATGAGCTGGGTGGTCTGGGGCAAGTTGTGCAGGTCACCTGTGCTTCTGTGTCCTTGTCCGCCACACGCAGACAAGAGTTGTGACCAATGCATGAACTCTGTTTTTGTTTTGTTTTTTTAAAAGATTTTATTTATTTATTCATGAGAGACACAGAGAGAGAGACACAGAGAGACACAGGCAGAGGGAGAAGCAGGCTCCCTGCAAGGAGCCCAATGTGGGACCCACTCCCAGGACCCCAGGATCATGCCCTGGGCCCAAGGCAGGTGCCAAACCACTGAGCCACCCAGGAATCCCTGCATGAACTCTCCTGTGGACTCAAAGAGAGAGCACCACGTAAAGCATGGTGCTGGCTTGGCACATAGTAAGTGCTCAGTAAATGCCAGCATTTACTGAGACCCCCTGGGTCTCGCTGTTGCAGACAGGAGCAATCCGATCCATCACCGTGGTTGGCACAGTGCTGGACAGGGACCACCGCGCTCACTCCTTGATCTGCCTCTCCTTGGCCAGGTGCTGACATCAACACGCAAGCCAGTGACAGTGCGTCGGCCCTCTACGAGGCTTGCAAGAATGAACATGAGGACGTGGTGGAGTTTCTACTCTCGCAAGGTGCCGACGCCAACAAGGCCAACAAAGACGGCTTGCTCCCGCTGCACATCGCCTCCAAGAAGGGCAACTACAGGTCAGCCCAGGGGGCCGCCACCTGTGCTCTGTGGCTCCCCGCCACACCTACACTGCTGGTGCGGGCTGGGGTGGGGGGGTTGCTGCAAGCGTCCCTCCCACAGGGAGGCCCAGGAGTGGCCGGGTGAGGGGCACCTTCCAGGTAGAAAGGAGGAGACTCTCCAGCAGGTGGCAAGCTGGAGCACGTTACATTATTAACTTCCTTCACCCTCTTGACCACTCTACTGCTAACAAGCCTTTTAACAAAATCTTTGGAGGTAGATACTATTCTCTTCATCCCTTCAAATGAGAAAGCTAAGACACAGAGAGGTGAGTGACTTGCCCAAGGTCCCACATCTTGTAGACGGCAAGAGCTCACCTGCTACAAATGTCACATCTACAGGAACTGCACTCGGGGGGGCCAGATATGAGTCTGGACTAGCGGCTATTTCTTTGGGGGGATGCAAAGATAACCACTCAGGCAATTAGCTAGCATGCAGGGGATACATAGAATAATAGGAATAGTACCAACCATACTAGAACACAAACAGTGCCAATGATAATAGCTAGATAGCCTTTACTGAGCACTTACTATGTGCTGGGCACTATGAGCAAAACAAAAGAAGCCTAAATCTCAGGGGGTGATCTGGTGGCAGGGGGGAGACACAGACACAGGCACATGAACTCTTGACATCATGAAAGAGCGTGAAGAGCTGAGCTCTGTGGCAGTCCTAGAGGAGAGAGACTAGTGGGGCCTGGCAGCAGATGTGTGCTGGAGCTGGCTCGTCCCAGCTCACGGGAGCCGACTATTCACCAGGGCAGCCTGATATTGGCCATACATAGCGAGAGTATTCACGCCACGGAAATTGGTGAATGCAACATATCAGGGTCCCCTTTGCTCCCGAAGAGCTGGTTGTTAAGCATACCCCAGCATCGCCACTAGCTGGTGGGCTCAGAGAGGACTCCCTGAAGGATGCAGAACCCCAGCTGCTCTTGAAGGATGACAGGGCTCTGTAACAGCCACTCCACCAGTGCTTTCCAGACTTTGACCACTCACAGACCTCATTCCTGATTTTAGGCACCTCTACGTTCACCGCTGGGTGTTTTCTTTTGAAGATATGTTTACATAAAATGAATTTGGTTTCAAAAGGAAACATTCATCACACGGTTCAGTTGCCAAAATTGCCAATTTACGATTAATAAGGAAAGCTTTTCACATAAAATTCCATCCAGCGCACCCCAGATGACACAGTCTGGGCAACACCTGCCCATCTACCTGCCATCAAGTAGAGAGAAGAGGGAAGAACACAGATTGTACACGTTAGGGGGTGTTGGCTGTGTTTGCTAAGGCAGATGGAAATAGGGGTGAGAGTGGCATCCTGCAGAGAGGAATGGAGACAAAGAGAAAGACCCCCCGGAACCTCAGGCCCCACTCTGCAGGCTGTCTGCATATATGGCCAACCAAAGATGTCCTGCCCACAAGCCCTCCCCGAGGTTACATGCACAGAGGAGACCCCGCCTTCCCTGAGCCCTAGAGCAGGAGGCTGCAAGGCACAGGACCTGGGTTTGAATTTCCCCTGGTTTGAAGCCATTGGTCACATTGCTTAAACCCTTCTGAGCCTCAGTTTCTCCTTCTGCAAAATGGGGGACAGTTACCTGCCTCATGGGGTTGTTGCTAGGACTGTTAGTGAAGTGGATATACACGGCTAAGGAATGGAAGTAAAGCACCCCGCAGACTGCCCGGCACACAGCAGGTACCCCGCAGGTCGGTGCGCTCACGCTCTCCTAGGTAGGAAGAGCACGTTCCCTCATTTTTCCATTCAGCCAATAGAGGGAAGAAAGCACCACGTCAGGCAGTGGTGCCGGGCAAGATGGATTCTTTCTCTTCAACCCCAGAAAGATCCAGCATCAGTCAGCAGACGTGGTTTATCTCAGGCATGACCCAGAGGGAGAGATCCAAAGAATGAAGGAGAGGGAAGAGGCTGGCCCTTGAAGTCTCCAGGGTCCCTGGACCCCCACACTTGCCTGTACAGCACCGTCTTTCTGGGCTATTTGTTAAACGACGCATCCCAGAACCACTAAACCAGAATCTCCAGGAGGGAGGGAGCCTAAGCCTCTACCTGTGAAGAGCTCCCTGAGCCACGCAGATACAGCCATCCACACCTTCGGGGGAATCACTGACGTAATACAGGCCCTGATTTTGCAGAGGAGAGAAATGGGAAGTGGCTTGCCACAGAGTGGCAGAGCTGGCACTGTCCCTTGGCATCCTTCGGTCACACCCGGATGCCTCACATGGCCCCTGAAGTTAGCAGTCTGGCCCCAGCGGGAGGGTACGCTGAAGGAGCACCGGGTGTGCCTAAGCTTGGCCAGGGAGCTAGGCTGGTTCTCTCTGGACAGTTTGTGTTCCTCCAAATCTTCTTTGGATTCATGACTCTCAACACGATTTCCCTGGTCGTTCACCTTCCATTCCCAGGCCCCACTTCCCTTTGCTCCCCAAGACTGAGAGGGTGAGAGGGGCCAGGCCTGCACTTTTGAGGGCTGCCCAACAAAGGATTAAAGCCGGGTTCGCAGCAGCTCCTGCCATCTGGCAAGGCCCATGGCCAGGCAAGCCCTGGGCACTTCACTCCTCGGGCATGTGGCACTAATGGCCCTGTCCACGCTGACCTCCCATAGGCTGCTTGGGGATTTGATGTGACATTCCATAGGCGTTCCACACTCCGCCACCTGCCAAAACACCCTGCCTGTCTAGGGCGTGGAAAGCAGCGCCCAGCAGTTGGTCTCAGGGTTCACCAGATGGTGCCATCGCTACAGCACATTTAACCAGAGGGTGTGACATTCGAGCATGGCTGAGAAGGGAGCCTAGAGGACACCCAAGTCACCTCCAAGGCACACCTTACCTTGTACTTCATTTCCAGTTTAGCAAAGGCACGGCATGAGATTAAAACCCAACATCAAGCATAGATTTGTTAAGAAACTGTGTTGGACAAGACCAGATGCCCCATGACTCCTTTAAACTAAATTTAGAATAGCACCAAGACCAGGGATTCTTAGCCTTGGCTCACACTGGAAGCCCCACCACCACTGCCAGAAGCTCTAAAACTCTTGATGTTTGGCCCTTACTCATCCTCAGAGATTCTGATGTAAGCAGTCTGGGCTGGGGCTGGGGTTTTGGGGTTTCAGGGTCTCTAAAAGCTGCCCAGATGATTTCACCAGGCAGCCCCATAGAGAACCAGGATCTTAGAGTCTGTTTTGTGCCTGGCATATAACAGAGACTGGCCTTTTGGGCCTCATTTCTGACGTCCTAGTTTTCAACTATAGTTTTTCTTTTACTTCTAATTTATATCACCTTTGCAAGCCACTTTAACACTTGTTTTGGAGAAAGGGAGAAGAAAGAACAGTAAACACAGTAAGTTAAAAAGCAGTTTATAAAGCGCATTCATGAGCAAGTTAGTCTCCCCATTGGCTGAAAGGGAACCTGAGGCTCAAAGCTTGAGGCCTCCAAGAGAATCAGAGGGGGAATTGTGGGCACAGGACCCCTTTACCCACACCCATCCTCCAAAGGAAACTGGTTTACTGCCTGTATCTTCTGGAGGAAAATGATGAAGGTTTGCATCCAAGTTTCCCAAGGTGGGGCACACGGGTCACCTGCAACACCTCCTGGGCCCCCTCCCCAGACCTGCTGAATCAGGCTCCGGTTGGCAGAGCCCAGGAGTCTGCACTGTGGGGCCTCCCTGAGCCGTCCTGAGCTGTGACTGAGCTGGTGGTTTGCAGCCTTGGCGAGGTTCCAGTCTCTGAAGGCCCAGAGAGCCCTCGGCGCACCTGTTCATGCAGCAGGGCACCCGGTTCTGCTGTTTGGGCTCTTCCTCCTTCACGGAGAAGCTCCTCCCTTGCTCCAGCTCCTAGGACCTCTGGGAAAAGCTGCACACTTCCCCTTAGAAGGATCCCTCGTGGGCAAGAGTCCCACTATAGCCCTGGGAAGGCCCTCAGGCAGATTCTCTCCACGGTAGAGCCTTTTCTGGCTCCAGCAGGACCATCACCCAGGCTCAGAGAGGTAGTCTCTCTCTCTCTCTCTCTCTCTCTCTGACACACACACACACACACACACACACACACACACATGCACACACATGCACACACACATGTGCATGGCAGGCTGAACACTGATTTTGGCAACCGAGCCATCTGTGGGTGACTGGTTCCCTTGTGAAGGCCTAGTCTGCAATGGAATTTCCACCCAGCGCTGACAAAGGTCACGTCACCATGACCTTGTAACCCAGAACGCCTGCATATCTGGTGTAGCAGGGAAGCGCACTGCAGTCACAGTGGTGGTCAAGACACCGACAGCCACCGCGTATTGGGTGCCTACCATGTGCCCAACAGCGTGACCTCATTTTATCCTCAAAAGCAGCCTCGGCGAAAGGTATCATTAAACTGAATTTTGTAACCTGGGCCAGGCCACCCCACGCTGCTGGGCTGTTAGGAAGAGTGAATGGGATAAAATACTTAGCTCACAGGGTCCTTTCCAGGATAAATGAGGTAAACTTGTAAAGCACTTTGGTGCCTGGCACAGAGTAAACGCTCAGCAATATTATTCAGGAGCGGGGAGTGCTCGCAGCAATTCATAGGGACTCCCTAAAGGGTGGCCACCACCACCACCACCATCATCATCATCACTCTTGTGATAACGACCCCTTACAGATGTGGTTACAGAGAGGTTGAGTGACATGCCTCAGATGGCTCAGCACTGAGAGACAGTGCTGGTGGTGTACCCAGGTCCGCGGCCCCATGCAGGGCCCCACACTGCTCAGGACAGCAGTGTCCTTTGACTCAAAGCACTTTGCTCTAGTCCTTCTCACTGGGCTGAGTGCAGGCAGGACACCGGAGCCAGGGCAACAGCCTTGAGGAAATCAGGATCCTGGGTAGGGACCTGGGGCCTGGAGAAAAGAGAGTGAGGCCGCCTGGGACAGGGAAAGTTGGCTTCAGTTACCGGTGCGTCCCAAACACAAGGCAGGGGCCAGGGTCACCTGCCCAGCTGCTGCTTGAGGCCTCCCTGGAAGAGCCCTGAGCTGGGCCTGCTCTGGTCTGGGGGTAGGTGTGGCCCTTGTGCTGGGGAAGGGGGGAGGGGGAGCAGGGAGCCTGGCAGGCACCAACGGTCCCCCTGGACAGTGGGCACCTTCGTTTCTCGTCATGAGGGACACTTTGAGTGCTGCAGGCCTAGGACCTGCCGGTGGGAGGAGTAAGGGAGGTCCAGCCCTTCTCATGGGGTCACCCTCTCCTCCTCCAACCTTCCATCCCACATCAAGGGCTGGGAAAAAAAGTGATGATTTGTGGCAGGGCGGCCAACACGGTCCCTCCCTGGGGCCAGGGTAGTGGAACATCACAGAAAGGCCCGGCCCCGCAAGTAGGTTCTGAACACCTGCACCCTGCCCTCGCTTTGCCAACCACCTCCAATCCAACCTCACTCTCTTCCCCACCCCATGCTGGGCCTCAGTTTCATCCCCCCTAGAAAATGCGAGGGCTGCACGGACTGATCTCCAGATCCTGTCCCGCAGGGAACATTTACTTCCAGGTCGGGAAAATCCTACAGACGTGCACAATGGGATGATTTTCCTGCGTTAGTAGGATGATGCTTCTGGGACCTGTAGGCAGCATCCAGTCATGTTTCCACATTCCTGCCACTTTGCCCTGGTTGGGCAAGGGATCTCTGGAGGCCGGTTGTGACCTGCCAGGGATACCAGCCCCCTCTGGCCAGCAGCCCCAGGGCAGTCTCTCTTTCGCTGTCTTTCCAGAGCTCGGGCATGCCACGGCTGTTAGGGAGCATTTGTTGGCGATGGCTGTGGTCCAGGGTGAGGCCCCAGCCCTGCCTTTGACCAGCACCTCTACAGAGCGGGGTCAGGCCTCCTGTGTCTGCACAAATAGAAATTAGGAGGCAATTAGCCCCCCTGGGTGTGTGAATTTCCTTTTGAGGTTTTAGAGGCAGATTTTAGGCAAACATAGCGTCACTAACAATAATAAGACTTTCCACTGAGATCCTAGCAGGAGGTCACTGGCATAAGATTTCCAGGAAGCCGCGAAGCCAGCATGCCAGGAGGCAGAGAGGCGTGGGAACAGGCCCCAGTGGCACCTGCTTGCCCCGCCATGGCCACCTCCTTTGAGCCTGCATGGGGCCACAAGGTCACCTGTCAGCAAGGATTGGATGGATTAGGGTTTGGAGTCACGTCAGTGCCAGGGGTCTAGGGGAAGAGAGCAAAGACAAGGTGTCAAGAGCCCCTGGAATTGGCCCCCTAAAATTGCTTACTATCTCTGATGAGTTGCTTCCTCTCTCTGAGTCAACGTCTGTTAAAAGGAAGGCCACAGAGCTGCTCCGGCCACCCCACAGGGCTGCAGGGAAGGTTAAAAGGGGCAGGCAAGTCAACGCGTTACAATGCAAAACCCTGTGACATATCAGCTGTCACCCTAACTGTCACGTAGGACAGTGGTTGAGAGTGTGGCCTGGGGAATCGGGCTGCCTAGGTTCAAACCCTCGCTCCATCACTTCCCGGTCCTCCTACAAGTCACATACCGTCCCTGGGCCCCATGTTTTCTCATCTGTAAATGAGGACAGCGCAATACTACCTCACAGGGCTACTGGGAGGACATGACAGATTAATGTGGATCAAGTGCTGAGAGCAGGAGTGCAGAGCCAGGGCCTGCAGGCATCTCCAGCCTCAGGAGTGGCTGCTCAAGCCTCCCCGGGCCATAGGCAAGGCAGAGAGCCTGGGGGAGGCTCGAATCGGCCTTCAGGGAAAGAGGCGTCAAGACTCACAGGAGAGGGGAGGGCACTTTGTGGTCCCCTAGGGCTGCCTGGGGCCTAGAGCAGGAGTGGTTGGGGTTGGATACATCGGTGCCCTCCTATCTCCCCGGACTGGGCAGCTCCACAGAGATGTGGGACAGCACAGCCCTGGAGTAGGAGGAGGGCACATTTCTTGGTTTGCCTCGCTCGATACGTGGCCTGGACAAGTCCCTCGACTTCTCTGAGCCTTGAGCTTTCTCATCTGCACAATGGGAATGATGAGACATACTTCCTGGTTGTTGAAAAGATTAAGCTTAAATGTGTTTGTAAATCCTTTACATGTCTCCTGGCACATAATGAGCTCCCCCCACCCTGGAGGTGTCTCCTGGCACATGGGGAGCTCCCCCCACCCCTGGAGGTGTCTCCTGGCACATGGGGAGCTCCCCCCACCCTGGAGGTGTCTCCTGGCACATGGCCAGCTCTCTCCCACCCCTGGAGGTGTCTCCTGGCACATGGGGAGCTCCCTCCACCCTGGAGGTATCTCCTGACACATGGCCAGCTCCCTCCACCCTGGAGGTATCTCCTGACACATGGCCAGCTCCCTCCACCCTGGAGGTGTCTCCTAGCACATGGCCAGCTCCCCCCACCCTGGAGGTGTCTCCTGGCACATGGCCAGCTCCCCCACCCCTACTCCGCTTAGGCAGGGCGGGTGCCAAACCTCTACCTGCAAACATCACCACGGCCCCGCTGCCTCCTGCACTGGGTGTGTGGACCTTCCAGTCAATTCCTCCATATCACGGAGCTGGGAGTAGGCAACACTCCTTAGCCTGAAGTTGGGTCCCCCCGAAATTCTGGCACCCGCAGTCCAGTCCCGCCGAAGTACCGCAGAACTAGGACCCCGGAGGCCACCGAGGCTGGTGAGGAGGGTTGGGCCCAGCGGCAGCCCCCACGGGCGGCTGGAGCTCCGGGGCCTCGGTCTTCCCGCTCTGATCCCGCAGGATCGTGCAGATGCTGCTCCCGGTGACCAGCCGCACGCGCGTGCGCAGGAGCGGGGTCAGCCCGCTGCACCTGGCGGCCGAGCGCAACCACGACGCGGTGCTCCGGGCCCTGCTGGGCGCGCGCTTCGACGTGAACGCGCCGCTGGCCCCCGAGCGCGCGCGCCTGTACGAGGACCGCCGCAGCTCCGCGCTCTACTTCGCCGTGGTCAACAGCAACGTGCCCGCCACCGAGCTGCTGCTGCGGGCCGGCGCCGACCCCAACCGCGACCTCATCAGCCCGCTGCTCGTGGCCATCCGCCTGGGCTGCCTGCGCACCGTGCGGCTGCTGCTGGACCACGGCGCCGACATCGACGCCCGCGTCGCCTCGCACCCCACCGCCTTCCCCGCCACCATCATGTTCGCCATGAAGTACCTGTCGCTGCTCAAGTTCCTCATGGACCTCGGCTGCGACGGCGAGCCCTGCTTCTCGTGCCGCTTCGGCTCCGGCCCGCACCCGCCCGCGCCGCCGCGCTCCAGCCGCTTCAGCGACGCGCCCGCCGCCGCCGCCGCCGCCGACAAGGAGCCCGCGGAGGTCCAGGTGCGCGGGGCGGGGGGGGGGGGGGGGGGGGGGGAATGGAGGGATGGACGGGGATGGAGGGATGGAGGGAAGGGGGGAGATGGGGGATGGAGGGATGGGGGGATGGAGGGATGGGGGGATGGAGGGGGATGGAGGGGGATGGGGGATGGGGGGATGGAGGGGGATGGAGGGGGATGGGGGATGGGGGGGATGGGGGATGGAGGGATGGGGGATGGGGGAGATGGAGGGATGGGGGATGGAGGGGGATGGAGGGGGAAGGGGGAGGGGATGGGGATGGAGGGGGATAGGGGAGGGGGATGGAGGGATGGGGGGTGCGGGGCTCATGCCCACCACCACCACCACCCCCACCCCAGCCCAGGGCCCTGGGAGCGGGCACACCTGCAGGCCGCCGAACCGCGTGGCTAGCGTGCCTTAGAGGCAGCAGAACTTAGTGGCTCGAGGACCCGTTGCGTCCTTTTTGGGGCCACCCCGTGGTGGGGAATGTCAGGAACTGACAGTGAGGTGGAGGAGTGATGGGGAACGTATAAGGTGTAAGACGCCAGGGTGCGTCACCCACGGCAAACCTGCACCTGGAATATGCCACTGAATGATGACCAGGATAGGGATGGAGGTGAGGGCAGATTGGCCAAGGTCGGATGAGGTGCAGGGCCACCCAGAGGCCGGACCTGCCCGTGCTGAGGACTTCACAGGTCGGATCTGTAATAGCTAATGGGAATCATTTAGGAGCTACTTGTTGCGTGCAAAGGAGTTTATATGTTCATATATTACCTTAATTCTCATTTGAAGAAAAAAAAGAGAGAGAGAGAGAGAACCACCCTCCAGTTGTCATATTCCCATTTTCTAGAACAGGAAGTTGAGGCTTAGAGAGATGATGGTCAAGCTGCCCACCTCCCACTTTCGGCAGCAGAGGCTATGTGGATGGGGGGGGGGGATTGCGTCTGTAGAACTGGATCCTGCCATGAGTGTGCCCAGTCCTCATTCCTCGGATCCCTCCCCTCCCCTCCCCGGCCTCAGGTTCCCTAACAGACAAGCCCCCTGAGGCATTGCCTTTGGTCCGGGGAGCCCCAGCACCAATGCGTGATCTCTTCCAGTTCTGCGAGATCCTGTCCACCCCAGAAGTGAGCCGCTGGGCAGGGCCCATCATCGACATCCTCCTGGACTATGTGGGCAACGTGCAGCTGTGCTCGCGGCTGAAGGAACACATCGAGAGCTTCGAGGACTGGGCCGTCATCAAGGAGAAGGCAGGTAGGGGCAGTTGCTGTTGCTCCTGGCAGGTCCCCCTGCCTGATTCAGGCCCAGGACTCACAGTACGTGCCGCCTACTAGCATTTGATAAACACCTACTGCGTGCCAAGCTCTGTGCCACGTGTTGCATACGGTGTCTCCATGACACTGCTGTAAAGGAGAAGCCTGACCCTCCAAGAGATGATGTCATGGGAGACAAGGTCTCACTGCTGTTTAGTGGCAGGCCTGGGGCAGGGCCTGAGAGTCTGCATTTCAGCACGCTCCCAGGTGGTGTCCGAGCTGCTGGTCCCCAGACCACACACCGGGAGCAGCACTAGGCCGAGAGGCAGGCCTCTGGAGCCAGGGGCTTGCTGGATGACCATCCACAGTGGTGTCGATGGGGCAGCCTGGCCGAGTCAGGCCGAGAACCCCTCTTGGGCATTACGGAGCTCACCTGGGCAGGTAAAGTGTCGGAAGTAATCAAACTGGGTGCTGCCACTGGTACTGAGAAATAAGCATCTGCCCAGAGGAGATCCATTTACCCGAAGGGTTTCTCACACTCTGAGGGCACAGGCCCATCTCTGACCAAGTGTTTGTCAATCATGGAGCCAAGAGGCTGACTCACAGCAAGTTTCTATTATGTCACCACTGCTGCTGTCCCCAGATGAGTCTGTGCCACCCTCTTCCCTGTCCCCTGACTATCCAGGTGCCCATGCCCCAGTGCCCCAACTCTGACTTGCCACCTTTCTCCTTGATCCCCGTGCCCCATAGAACCCAAACCTACTATAGGATTTCTCATTTGCACAAATGCCTGGGAAGCATTTGAGTTAGACCTTTGATAAAGTTATTGAGGCAGCGATGGGGGAGGGTGGTGGGGACTTGCCCACTCACCCGGGGCGTAGCCCGAGAGGCTTGGTGAACATTCACCACATTCATGAGTAACTGGTTGCTCTCTCCTTGATCCTTTGCTCCGCAGTGGCCTTTGGCCTTCCTCCCCTCCAGCTTAGTCTTCACTTGGGCTGAGAAAGGGACTGAGCTTCCCAGATGGGAGGCTCTGTCCTAAGCAAGACCAAGCAGCGAGAAATGCAGCTGGGTGGCACTGCAGCCACCTGCCATTGTTTCCACATTCCCTCCGAATCCCAATCTTCCAGATTAGCCATGGGCTCGTTGGCGTGGCATAGCCACTTGCCCTGCTCAGAATGCCCCTGCCTCCCTTCTTCACCTGGCAAACACCTGCCCACCTGTCAAGACCCTGCTCAGGTGGCACCATGTGGTGTGAAAGCCTTCCCCAAAGTCCTGGGTAGGCATCTCTGTATCTCTGGCCTAACACGGGGCCAGGCAGTGAAAGGATCAACATGTGTGTGTGTTGAGTGAATGAATGGTGTTGATTCAACAAACACCCCCTCCCCCGTGCTAGACCCTGAGCCAGAGGCTGAAATAAATTACCCTATTACTAGACACATCAATCCCTGTTCCTACCACACCTCCTCCCCCTGAGATGAGAAAACTCTACTGTACGAGGTATCCCAGGAGGGCTTCTGGGGGGAGGCAGCCCAGTGGGATCTTGGGATGTGTGGGGAGGTGTTCCCCATCCCTGCGCACACCCTGGCCTCTCTGCACCACCAGAGCTCAGGGCTTAATTCCATTTATGGGGGCACTTAACAGGTGAAACTGTCTGACCCCTTTGCTAAGGCTGTGTTGGCCGTCCAGGCTGTGTATATAGAGGAAGGAGCACAAGAAGAGGGGCATGGCAGCTCCGGTTCCGGGTGTGGGCTTCACTAGGTCCTCACCTGTGAAATGGGTTTGTACCTGCCCCATCTACTTCCTTGGGCTGTGCAGATCAATGAGGGGCTACAAGGAGAAAGCTGCTTTGCCAGATCTTTTCAGTTGGCAGGGGCTGGGATTACAGAGCCCGAGGAGGGGGAGGTCCAAGGAACCCTCCCTCTCTTTTTTGAAATAGGCTGCACGCCCAGCGTGGAGCCCAACGCAGGGCTTGAACTCATGGCCTTGAGATCAAGATTTGGATGCTTAACTGCCTGAGCCACCCAGGTGCTGCCCACCACCGCCCCCCCCACCCCAGCAGCCTTTGGTCACATCGACTGGGTGTCTCCTACCTGCCAGCGGGCACAGGTGCAAACTCTTTGCTGGTTGCAAATAACACATCAGGATTTCTCTTTCTCTCCCCAGAACTTCCCAGACCTCTGGCTCACCTGTGCCGGCTGCAAGTGAGAAAGGCTGTCGGGAAGCACCGCATAAAACTCCTAGACCTATTGCCGCTCCCGGGCAGGCTGATTAGGTACCTGAAGTACGAGAACACTCAGTAGCCAAGGCTTTGTGGAGGAGCAGCTCCTCAGACTGTTTCACTAAAGCCTCAGGACGGCAGTGTCCCCAAATCCAGGGGGACCTGGGGACAGACCGAGCCTGTGGGCTGCCTCCCTGTCCAGCTGGGGCAGCTGCCGTGACCTCGCCGGGTCTCTGGGCCAGAGCTTTGCCCGGACCAGAGAACAGAACGTGTCCAGTAGGAGAAAAACCGTGTTTGTTTTCAAACTGCTGAGTGGATCCCAGACCTTCTCTGCCATTGGGAACAGCAGAGCCTCCATTCCTGGGGCTGGGAGAGGGGGCAGGGCAGACCTTGGGGTGGCCTGGGGAGGGTGGGAGCCAGCAGGGAAGCCCCGACCCCAACGCTTTCAGGGGTGAGTCTGCCTTTTCAGTTCAACCCGGCCGCCGGGCTGTCCCAGTCCCCTCCGCCTGTGCTCCATAAAACTCTCCACGTGACTTCTGAGCTTTCTTCCCGGGGATGTGGTCTGATGGGGATAGGTGGGAGGTCCACCATAGGTACAATAAATGTTACACGGATGACACCTTGCCCAGCAAAGTCCCTCTCATCAGACCCCCCACCCGAGCCCAGGGCCTGGGGTCCTTGGCCTCTCTCCTGGTGGCAGCAGGCATGGGGCCGGTTCTGGGATAGGGTGCACAGACCCCTAGACGTGTCGTGTCCCCTTTGGGCTTCTGAAAGCCAGAACAGAGCTTGCAGCTCAAGGAGAGGGGCAGCTTCCTGCCCCGGGAGCCTGGCCGCTGGGGTTGCTTTCTCGCTCCTGCTTCAATCACCATGGAAACCGGAGCTCCATCCCAAACAGGGCCTGGTGTCTACAAGTCTCCTGACACCTGGGGTTGCCTCGCACACACGTGCTTCCTGGCACTCTGTCTTCAGGTCCTGCCCACCCTCGTTTTCTACAGAAGTTGAGATGTGAGGGAGGAAAAAAAATCTAAACGCTGACCACCGTGAGCCACGGCGCTGGAGCAGATGCCGCCGTCAACTCCTGCAAAGGCATCAAACTGGGGACATGGGGTCCTGTCCCCTCTTTTGCCTCTGTGGGTCCTCGTGTGGCTCTGTGGGACACACCAGGCGTTTTCTGGAGCTGCCAGCCCATGGTTCAAACGGGCATGGTGGTAGCACCTTCTTGGGCTCTGTGGCCTGGCACTGAGGCTGCTCAACCCTGTTTCCATGAAGCTGCAGTGACTCATCAGCATTCCCTCCGAAAGAAGCGTGATGAAAGCCACGGGAGTCCAGGCCAGGCTGCGGTGACACGGGAGAGGTGACCTTGCCTAGAGCCTGCACCTGCCCCGCCCCAGATTCTGAAAGAGTCTTAGGTGCAATCAATGTCCGTTCCTGGGTTTGGCAAAGTAAGCAGCTGGCTGGTGGGGGAGCACAGTTTTGAGGTCCGGCTCTGCCCTTGGCGTGCTCCTCTGGGGCCTCAGCTTCCCCATCGTGCGGTCCCCAGCAGCCTTGCCAACCCCTACACACTGGCTTTCCATGGAACCAGTAAGATCTAGTGTCTTCATGAGGAGGAAAAGTCTGCCAAGCAGCACTTCCAGCCACAGGTCAGAGGAACCCAGTGCATCTTGCCCACTCCTTCATGGTCCTGATGGGAAAATAGGCCCAAAGAAGGGAGAGGACTTGCCTGGACACACATCGCAAATCCCTGGGGTTTAACCCGACAGTGCTGGGCCAGGGTCCCATGTGGCCTTGCTGCAAGAGATCCTCAAGAATTCCCCACGGAAACCTCCACACTGGAGATGTTCTACCAAGGGGCCCCGGGGACGTGGCCAGAGAGGGCTCAGTGCATAGTCAGTGGAAAACCCTGTCGGAAAATTGTCCTTGCTCATCTGGCAGCCGGAGGGAGAGCCTTTATTTTCAGGTGGTGGGGAAGCGGTCGGCCATCCACGATGAACCAGAGAAGAAAGATGCGTGGGTGCACTGGGGCTGGGTATGGGGCACTATAGCATTCCTCAGGTCACCTGTACCAGTATTAACTGGCTGTGGCCACTGGGGGCAGGAGGTGGGGGGGAGGACGAATCCAGTCTGAGGGAGGTGCCCCCCTGGAGGAGAGGAGGTTGAGAAGGTAGGTGGGAGGGGTGGGGCAGGAAGGCTCAGTCTCTGCATTCATTAGCACCACTGAATGTAGGATGTGGGGTACCCGGGGCTGGGATGCACCAGCATCGCGCTGGGTTCTCAGAATACTGATGCTGGTCCACACTGTAGGTCACAGGCACTGGTCAAGGCCCCTCCTCCTCAAGCATCTTTCCCACCCTTGGCCTTCTCAGGTCCAGGGCCCCCCCACCTCCCCACAACCCAGAAGCTGAAGGGTTAATGCCTGGCCTGGAAGGGAGGGGGCAAGCTGCTCTTCAAGGTCGGTTCTGATTGGTCAGTGCTCAGGCTGTGCTGGTGGTTGCATTTCTGGACCACCACCGCTCCCCACAGGGCTTCACAGTCGTGACCCTCTGCAGAAACCCCTTCCCCCCACCCCCAAACTTTGGCCTCCGGGTAGTCTCAACAGCATCACCAAACACTCAAAATCCTGGAGGTGGTTCCATTTCACCAGCAAGAGCACAGTGCTGGAGATCTGAGGCTAGGAGATGGGTTACTTTGTGTTACCCTTTGAGCCTGCCTGACTCATTTTTGGGTCAGAGTCATCTGCAGCTACTACTGTAGCTGCTTTTTTTTATTCTTTTTAACCACAGCTTTTTTTTTTTTAAGATTTTATTCATGAGAGACACAGAGAGTGATGCAGAGACATAGGCAGAGGGAGAAATAGGCTCCCTGCTGGGAGCCTGCGTGGGACTCTATCCCTGGAACCAGGATCACACCCTGAGCCAAAGGCAGACGCTGAACTGCTGAGCCACCCAGGTACCCCAAATCACAGCTTTCCTAGATGTGTTTTTCCCCAACTTGCTTCTTCCTGGGGAGTCATGCTGCCCTGTGCTTCTGTCCAGCTGCTTCTTAGTAAAGATTTCCGCTTCCGGATGAAGCCTCCCTGATGCATTTGAATTCATGCATCACTAGGTGTCCCCTGGGAAAGGAGCCCAGGAGGAGGGGGTGAAGGGACCCAGGCATGGTGCACTTGGGCAGCCCTCTGAGAAAACATGCCTCCCAGAGCTCGGCTCCTCCAGGGAGTACAGTTAGGTGGCCAGATAACTAGGAGAGGCGACTTTTGGTCGGTGCGGCTCTGTCAGGTGTGTAGCCCTCAGAGTGCCAGGTGCACACATCATCCCCACAACCACCTGTGAAGGTCTATTTTCGACCACATTTTTCTGATGGGGAAATTTTGGTACAGAGAGGTTTAAGTAACTTGCCCAAGGTCACACAGCTGGTAGGTGGCAACGCCTTGCTTGGAGCTTTTAACACCCTCCTGTACAGGGTGGAGGGGCTGGGCCTCAGTGGAATGGATCTGGAGGGGCCTTCATGATGTGCAGGGGAAGAGGAGGTACATGCAGAGCAGACCAGAGCAGCCTGATGGGGAGGGTCCTGTGTGCTAGATAATTACTCTGAACAACACTGCCCATGCCACCTGGCTTCCATGGCTCTCAAGTCCTCCAAGACCATCAGACAGAAACTGCCAGAAATCCACCGGCTTCCTAGTGAGCAACCTGCCCTCGCATGCAGATGCTCCAATCTGCAGGAATCCTAGAGTAAAAACAGGTGGGGGGCAGGGGGAGGACCCTTAAACAATCACCAGCCATGGAACCTTGTGTTAGGAAGGATTCTGAGGCCATGTCTGTCCCCGGAAGGAGACAGCCTGCAATTAGTTGAAGGTATTTGACTTGGGCGCAGAACTGGTAGGCACATCTGTTTGCAGTTGCTCACCTAGTCCTCCACTGTACCGACGGGGACACCAAGTCACAGAGGGAGATTAACTTCCCAACATTATGCTGCTAAGTTGGGCCCTGTAGTCCCCAGCCAGGGGAGAACCGGGCTTGGATGATCCAAGCAGCTCGGCACCCCTGGCAGGTCTGTGTGCTCCCATCCATGGAGCCACATCTGCACAAAGCAGAGCAAATCTCAGGCCGGTGTAGAGGCTCACACCTTTCCAATGGCTGTGCCTGCTGGGCAGCATCTGGGCAAACCCCAGGGTGACTCCCTGCCACCTGCAGCCCCTCTGTGCATTGTCACAGACAGAGGCCCTCATCACTCACTGATGGAACACCGGTGTGAGCCAGGCACTGCACCAGGCCCAAGAAGAGAGCTATCAGCAGGTTAGCCAGGAATCTGACTTAGAGATTTTTTTTCTTGTTTGTCCACAAGGGGTCAAGCTCCAATTTGTCTTGATTTTCCCTCTGACCAGGGTTGGGCATGACTGCCTAGGCCTGGCCTCTTCTCTGAGGCCATAATCAGAGTGGAAGGCACAGAGAGGGGGACCACTCTCGTCCTGCCCCTCATGCTGCAGGTGGGACAAGGAGGCCCCAAGAGGAAGGGTCTGTACCACATCCCGTTGAGACTACAGCTCCGCCTCCCCTGGTAACCATCCTCCCTAGTCTCGAGAGCACTTGGTACCTTCGGGACGTTCAGGCCTCCGCCACCCTCTGCTCTCGGACACGGGCAAGCCAAGCATCCTCCCCTGGCCTGCAGTGCCCATTCTCTGACACCACAAAGGTCTCAGGGCCATCCCTGGCCTCCCCCACAGCCAGCTGCCTCCCTCAGCTGCCCTCTGCCTGGGCCCAGCCAGCATTTCTTAGCCCGGGGACTATCCAACTTCATGACATCCAAGATGTGGAAACTGCAAAAGAAATGTCTTTATTCTTTTAACTTTCTTAATATTTACCAAAAAACCCAGAAAGAACAGAACTGAGATAGTGGCTTACACAGTGGGTGGCAGATGAACAGATGTGTGCAAAGCCCCACTGCCCAAGACCCACGCAAGGACAGTGGGACTCTGGTCTGGTCGGAGAGAGGCCAGCAGAGCCCAGCCCCACAGCTCCCAAGGCTGCAGAGGCTGCCCCAGCCGCGTCCTCCCCCTCCCACCCAAACACAAAGGAAAGGGTCCCGAGAGACCACACCACTGCTCAGCTGGCTCTGCACATGGAGCGCTCCCGGGGGGCTCCCCAACACCCCCGTGGGCCAGAGGTGGGAGCCGAGGCCCTGCCAGCCAGGCTAGAGGTAGCCGAAGACATTGAAGATGGGCGGGGGCACAGCGGGCTTGGTCGGGATGGGCTTCAGAACCACGGGTCTGTACACTTTCTGCCCGGGCCCATCCACGTGCTTGCAGAAGTGGGCCAGCTCCCCGGGGGAAGCGGGGCTTTTCCTCCACAGGCCCAGGCCGGGGACCGGGCTCTGAGGCAAGGCCCCTGGAGGACCTGCATAGACGGGCTGTCCATGGTACTGGAAGGGGCAGCAGCTCCAGGCATTGACTCGGCCCACCAGGGAGACCCCAGACATCTTGAGTGGCTCCTTTTCAGCCGGTGCCCTTGGGGATGTGGGCACCGGGGCCGTCTCAGGATCCAAGGGCTCCAAGCCCTTGCAGTGTTTCTTACTCTCATAGGGAGGTCCCTCCCTGGGGCCCAGCCCCCCCTCCAGCCCCAGGGGGTAGCTGTGGGTGGGCCGAGGCTCTTCCCAGAAGGAAGCAGGCAGCTGTCTTTTCCTCATGGGCACCTGGCCAGGCCTGGCAGCTTCTGGGTTCTGCCTCTGTAGGGTCTGCTCCTTAGAGAGACATTCCTCCCTGTAGGGGTTCCCCAGAGCTTTCTCCTTGCAGCCCCCACCCTCACCAGGACTGGAATCGTGGCCAGAACCGAGGGGCAGCCTCCCGGGCCGGTCCTCGGCTCCCCTTTTCAGGTGAGGCTCGGCCCCTCTGCCGGGGAGGCCCCGAGGAAGCCGGGAGTACTTCTGGGAGAAGCGTTTAAGCTGCTTCTGTAGGTACTTGCGGTGATCCACTGAGCGGCGGCAGGGCGCAGACTTGTCCAGGGCTGCCTTGATGTCGCTGGACGCCAGGTTCACAAAGTTCAGCAGCATCTTCACGTCACTGTCGGATGCCATCACCAGGGGACCACTGCATGGGGCTTTCCATGAAGAGGGTGGGCTCTGCTGGTGGCTGGCAGCTCCGGGGAAGGGCACAGAGCTGACCTGGGGGCGGGGACACGCAGGTCGTTGGCGGTCCCTGCGAGCACCCGCACCCAGCCCTCCCCACGGGCTGCGGGGCTGCAAACAGTGGCTCCGGCCCCGGGAGCCCTCGATCCCGAAACGGAGTCCTGGGTGGCAGGCCACCGGTTCAGGCCGCTGAGGGTTTCCTCAGCATCTGCGAGGGCACAGGCAAGCAGCAGTCGGCCTGAGTCCGTTGCCCTTGACTTGCAGCCCATGTTCAGAGAGGCTGGGCGACTTGCCCAAAGCGGCCCAGCTACAAGTGGCATTGCTGGGGCCCGAGCGCAAGGCTCCGCGGGCCCAGCCCACCGTGGCTCCCACACACCACGCTGCCAACGTGCACCACTTGCCAGCAAGGTTTTTATTTTCTGAGCCGGGGCGACCACTCCACTTTCAAGCAAGGCCAAGCCCCCTCTCTCCCTGGCGGTGCCCTCCTCCTCCCACCCCTGCCCCCAGCCCTGCTATCACCCCCCCCCTCGCCGGTCCCCACGCTCCACCCCCAGCGCTCACGCAGGACAGGCAGGACCCCTGTCTGGCACTCAAGCCTCGGCCTGCCTGGCGGGCTGATCTCAGACTGCGGGCAGCGGGACTCCCCCGTAGAAGCATCTGCAGCGATTTCATGCCTCCTGGGCCACCACCCGAGGCACCTCGCCCCTCCCCCGGGCCCCAGCCCGCCCCACGCCCCCACCCAGCTGGCTGGTGCCGCCCGACCTCCACACTGACCGGGGGTGCAGGCCGGCCCCGGGCCCCGCCGCCGATGTGGCCTGGCAGGTTCCCCGCCGCAGACCTGGGCCAGGCCCGGCGTGGCCGGCGAGCTCCGTGCGTCCGGCTGGAAGCGGTCGTGCAGCCCTCGAGTGGGCTGGATGGAGGACGAGTCCCCGGAGCTGGGGGGCCCCTCAGGCCAATCAGGAGCGCCTCTCCAGATACAAAGCATCCCAATCAGGCGGCAGCGCCCCGTTCCCACATTCTTTGCCGTCACAAATTGTCACCATGGGGACCGTCACAAAAAAGACAGCTCCCAAATGCAATCATTTCCCGGTAAATTTCTACCCTTCAGCCCCTCCTCCCCTTGACCTCGGTTCCCTGGTTTCTTGAGGGGGCAGTGTGTGTGCGTGTGTGTGCGTGCGTGTGTGTGTGTGTGTGTGTGTGTGTGTGTGTGTGTGTTTAAAAAGTCCAGGAGTGAGGAGGGGCTGAGCCCAGAAGAGTGGGGTTTGCATACCTCCCCCAAAGACTCCAGGCCTACAGCTGCCATGCTCCAGTGCAGACAGACAATCGGACGGGGTAAGCCAGGGCGGGCTGCTTTCCCCTCTGTCCTTGAGTGTTGAATGTCTCTCCCTCTCTCTCCCCCTCTCTGTCCCGGTCTCAGTCTGCCCCTCTCTCCCTGTCCCTGGCCCCCACCCGAGGCACCGGGCACTGGCCAGTCTGGGAGGGCAGGCAGCAAGCACGCTGGTGTCCGGGCAAGGTAGCCGAGGAGGGACTCTCTAACGAGGTGCTGGGATATCCATGGGAAGGGAGCCGGAGCTCTCAGGAATCTTGTCTTTATGTTTGCTTCCTCAATTGAGCTGCACAAAGCCTGAATTGCCCATTCAGCGCGGCCGGACAAAAGGCTGGCGTTGCACGGTCCCCTTGCATTTGTAGTCAAACAGTTAGGGACTTAAATCGAGTCGTCATGATGGAGAAAGAGGTGGACAAAGCCCATAGAATTGCCATCAGCAAACATTTTCCTGTGTCATATTAGCCAGTCTCCATGGCTCCCCCTGGCCTGGGGACAATGGCACAAGTTTGCACACTTGGCTACTGTCACCGTGCCAACGCCGGCGGGGCCGCAAGCGGGCCGCTCTGAGTGAGCAAGGGAGCCCCGAGCCGGCCGCTGGCCCTGCCCACTGACTGGCCGGAGGGAAGGTGAGGCCAGCGGAGGGCGGAGGGGGGCTGCCTGGGGAATGCTGATGGGCGCGGCCTCCGTGCCAGCACGTCCTGCCTTCCTCCTGATGCTCGGCCTCCTCTTCCCTGTCCTTCCCTTCCTCGTCCATTCCCTTCCCTCCCACCCTCCTGTGCCACCGTCTTCTCCTGTCCGCCGGTCAGCTGAACAGTTGGTGGCCTGTACCCCAACCACACCTCCATGCCACCATCTAAAATCCCAAGGACTCCCCTCTGAGGTCATGGGAGCAGGAGCTGGGCAGGCCCAGGGGACTCACCCAGGAGGATGGTCCCAGCTCCTCCTGCTGGCCAATAGGCAGCTGCTGCCTGCACACAGTGGCCTGGTCTCAAGCCACCTCCCTCTGTGGCCTGAGGGTCCCTACAGGCGGAACGAAGGCTTTGGAGGAGAGGGCCCTTACACCCACAAGCTGTAACTCAGTCTAAGCATTTAGGATCTGGTGCGGTATTCCTCGTTGGGGGTGCTGGGGAAGCACAGGCTGACACGGAGTTGTCCTTGGGCTGGAGCATCCCGGACCATCGGCTATCACAGGCCCCTGGACAGCGACTCCTCTCTGCAGCAGTGTGACAGCTAAATTGCTGTGGCTTTCAGCCCCTGAGGTTTGGGGGTTATCTCCGCAGCAGAACCTAGCCCAGCCTGACTGGTAGGGGCAGGAAACATCCTTTTTGCTCCAAACCAGCCCTTACACAGGGCTGCGCAAGGTCACCAGGTTGGGCTCCCTGCTGCTCGCTGCTTGGGGACTAGGGTGCACAGCTCGGCCAGTGTTCCGATTCCTCCATAACCCAGCGCTGGCCCGCTTAACCACGTTCTGTGTCATCCTCTGCCGGGGCACTGGCCCCATCCCAGCCCGTTCCCACCGTGGCCTCCTGCATTCTCTGTGTCAGCTCCTGTGCTGCAGCCTACCTGGCCTTTCCTGCTGGTGACGTCATCCCCTCGCTGCTCACACAATAGCCAACCCCCAAGGTCGGGGAGCTCTGTGGGGTCCAAGTCCATAGCTTAAAAAAAATCATTCCATAGCTCTCAGTATGGGCTGTTCTACCCATGTGTTCTTCCCACTTGCTGAGGAAGGAGGGAGGGACGGAGGGAGAGAGGAGGGAAGGATGGAAGGGACGAAGAGTTGGAAGGAAGCGGATACTTCGGGGGCATCTCATAAGTGCCAAGAGCTGCAATCAATGATTACACGTGGACGATCCCACCTGACTCCATGACAGCTCAATGCGTCATTTACCGTTGCCATTTACTCAGCAGGAATGGGAGGCGGAGCTGCTTTCCCAAGGCCTCGCAGCCAGCAAGTGGCAGAACTGAACTTGAAGCTGCGTGCACAGCCCGTGTCAGTCCCACCGCGCACTGCTTCCCTGAGCGCCTACCGGGGACCAGGCACTGATTAAGTCCTGGGCTGTCGGGTTTGACGGCATCGAAAGCCAGATTTTATATGAAAGTCCTGGGTTCGTCTCTTCTGTCCTCTGTCAGACTGTGACTCTTGACACCTGCTTCAGGAGTACAGAAGCTGCAGCTCTTTGACATCAGTCGAGGGGAAAGAAGGCAGCCGTGAAGAACTGCGGCCTGAGGTCCAGATCCGTGGCCCTACCGTGACCTGGCCACACCTGGGCCTCCGGAGGCCTGCGACCCAGGCTGGGGAAGCTCTTCTGGGTTTCTCTGGTAGGTCATACGGACAGATGGAAGACGTCCATAATACTGACTCTGCCTTATTCTAGGGAGACTTCCTTTCACAGCACTTCTCTCATGTGGCCCTGCATCGGGATGGGGTGGGACACTTTTCCCTGTGTACATTTGGTAACACGCCCAAAGACAAGCCACCCAGCTCAGCACTACTTAGCCAGCACTGTCCTCTTGGCATTCTTCAAGGCCCAGCTCAAACATCCCCTCCTCCAAGAAGCCTTCCACCAACTTCCAGCATTGCCAAAGACACCCTCTGCCATCCCTGTGTGTATAGATTCAAAATGAAGTCGATCCTCCTTGGCTTAACACAGAAAGCCTCTGGTAATCTGACCCCCAAACGGGCCCTGCACAGAGTAGTTTCTCACTATGTTTCATGAATTGAATATTTTGCCCATTCCACTGAATAGAATTTATCCTGCGGACTGGAAACAACTGCTTCCTGCATTTGTTTGTTTGTTTACCATTTGCCCCACCCACCTCCACCGGGGTGAGCTCCATGAGAACAGGGCACAACCGCTCTCATTCATCGCTGTATCTCCATGGACTAGAATGGCCTTGGCACAGAGCAGGACTTACTCAAGGACCCTTGTGACCGCTGTGGCTGCACTTGACAACAAATCCTCTGTGCTCCTTTGGGACTCTGAGGCATCTCCCTGCCCCAGAGAGGGACACCCAAGTATCTGTTAAAGGCAAGTGAGTGGTGCTGGCTTGCCCTTGAGAGTCCTTCCTGGTCCTCTGCTGTCATGAGTGCCTGTCTCACACCACTGAGAGGAACACCCTAACTTTCCTGGGTTTCCCACACAAACTACCAGGGGCCACCCATCCAGAATCTCTGGTTGTCATCTGATGTAACCCACTTCTAGAATTTAGCCAACACAGCCGCTGATTGTGCCCAAAAGTGAGAGGGGACAGTCGACAATGACATGCACCAACCCAGCCAGAAGGGACACGGTATGTCATCTGGGGCAGTGGGCTTTCAAACTGCGTTTATGCAGAGAAGCCCGTTAAACAGCCTCGTATGGGTGCCCAATACATAAAACAGTGACCGCGACAGGCCAGGAGGTCAGCTCTATTTTACGCAGGCAAATGCATACTTCCCGCTGATTTTGCAAACAGCAGATTCAGATGAGGAAGATGCTGAAGATGACCTACAACTTTGAAATCAGGGGCTACAGATTACGGTCTGCCACCAGCCATTTTTTGCTTTGGTTCCAGAACCTATAGAAATCTCAACTTAGGGATCCCTGGGTGGCTCAGCAGTTTAGCGCTGCCTTTGGCCCAGGGCATGATCCTGGAGACCTGGGATCGAGTCCCACGTCGGGCTCCCTGCATGGAGCCTGCTTCTCCCTCTGCCTGTGTCTCTGCCTCTCTCTCTCTCTCTCTCTGTCTCTCATGAATAAATAAAATCAAGAAAGAAAGAAAGAAAGAAAGAAAGAAAGAAAGAAAGAAAGAAAGAAAGGAAGAAGGAAGGAAGAAGGAAGAAGGAAGGAAGGAAGGAAGGAAGGAAGGAAGAGAAATCTCGACTTAAAGACATAAACAGCTAAAATGATCACTTTTTAAATCTACCATACAAGCTCAGATCATCATCCAGTGAAAACCATCCACCCAAGAAGCTTCATTATCTAGTCCCCTGAGGTGTTACCCAGTAACTGCCCAGCTTACCACACCAGTCGCCAGCCTAGTGTGTTGGCTTGCGAGCTCTAACTCGTTTGAGTGTGTCTATTAGTGCGGTTTTTAGAACGTAACATCTGCAATCACCAAAAATAACTTTGAAAGGAAACTTTACCTTTCCACACCTCTGTAGAGAGTTCTGTTCCAAAAGATGGGCCATCTTCTCGCTTTAGACGTGAAGTAAACGAGGCCCAGACTGGGGAGCCGATTCACCCAAGAGCCAGGTAGAAGCAGGACTACGATGGCAGCTCTGTCCTGCAGCTGGCCACCTGGTCACAGTAGCAGAGAGCTCAGAGCTCAGCCCTGGCCTGCACTCACCACTCGATCAACGTATGTAATATGTACTAAGCCACTTGTTCAATGGATGAGAAAATTGGCCCAAGGTCCTCCGGTCAGTAAATGGCAGTGCCAGGAATGGGATGCGGGCAGCCAGGTCCAGACACTTGGTGGTGACCATCGTATGATACCGCTCCCTAAAGACCCTCTTAACCAACGGGCTGGCCCTAACTACCTCCTGGGGGCATTGGTAACCCAGAGACCCAGATGTGTCCCTCCCGGCCCTGGAGAGTTAAGTCTGACCACCTCAACGCAAACCCACGAATGCCACCGCAGAGGCACAGGGCTGGGCCAGCACTTTGTGGACACATGACATCACAAGATGACTTATGTAACCCCCTTACGTAACGGGAGTGTTTCTATCAAAGACCTGCCGAGGCAAGCTGTCAGCTGTAATCAGGACAGACAGGCTTTCCACTCTCTTGGAATGGGAGGCGTTGGGGTGAAATAAATTCCTTTGGCTGCCAGGCCGGGGGCTTCCTCTGCCCTGGTGACCTCCCCTCACAACCAAGGCTGAGCACCGGCATGGCTGGAGACCTCATGATGCCCTGAAGAAGTCACAGCTCAGCCGGCCTGTCCCTGCACCACTACCCGCCCCCCCGCCCCCCGCCGCCCTGGTCACAGCCCAGCCGCAGTGACAGAGACAAGCATCAGTGTGACCATCTTTAAGGCTGAGCTAATCGTAGCTCGCCGGCGGAGTGGACAATGAGGATTAAGAGAAATCATCTGTGACAAAGACTAGCACGATGCCTGGCTTGGAGTCAGTGACCTTGCCCCAGCTCTTCCCCTCTGCGCTGTGTCCACAGCTGCCCAGGGCACCCCAGCCTGGGCGCGTCTCACCCATAAAGAGGGGCTGATGTGGCCAGAATGACACAGCAGTCGTGCCTTTGTGCCCCTCTCGGGCCACCCCCATGAACCACCGCCTCCCCCATGGTCCCGGCTACCAGGCCGCAGGTCCATCACCTGGACTCTCTCTTCAGGAGCCTTTCTGGTCTATCTCTTCACCCCACCCAGGGCTCAGCCAGGAATGAAAAGTCCGTTTAATCTCAACTGCCAACTCAGGTTTGATTGGTGATGGCTGGCAGGTGCCCTGTGGAAAGATTCCGAGGCTCCAGGGACTCAGCAGTTAGAATGACCTGATCAGCTAGTCATGTCTTCCGTGGGCGTGGATGGAGATGGGCTGGCTGGTGCCAGGGGGCCCTGGGTCCAGCTCCCCGCTCACAGGCTGCGAAGCCAGGGGCGCGAAGCTTGGCCTTCTGATAACCCCTGGGATTTCAATCAAGGGAACAGAGTCCTAGAGAATGAAAAGTGACTCCTCCAAGTCCTCAAGTGCTCCTCCCACTTCCCAGACCAGAGCTCACTGATTCAGTTCAGCAAACCAAGACCAGAGAATGGAGCCTTTTGGAGAAAGGAGGCAGTGAGAAGTTTAGGATGCTGGAGAGAGGAGAGGGCACCACAGGGAAGGGCCAGATGAAGTCAGGAAGAAGGGCTGAATCCTCCGTGTATTTTTGCAGGCAGGAGGCACATAATAAATGCTTGTCGAACAAACCACCACATGGAGCAAAATGACCGATTGGTTTCTAAGCTCTCTTGGGGGCTCCGGTTGCCAATCACACAGAGAAGGCAGGGCTTCTGATTTGTCCCCTCTGGCCTCACGGCCCGGCCTCCACCCCCTCCCTGGATCACCTGTCCCAGTCTGGTAAGATACAGGGAGCAACCTTTTGTCATCTAATTTTTATTTCCTGATCTCTGATCGCAATTCTCTCTGTAGCCCAAATCCGGTCCAAAACACACATTTAAAAAATTATCTGAATAAAGTCTTGCCAAGAGAGGGACATTTGCACAATCAGCGATTCCCGGGCTCCCTCACATGGTGCTGGTCAGGTCAGAAGAGTCACTACAGTGAACTCAGGAGCCCCTTCACCTCCAGTTGAGCAGAGAGGCTCAACTCCACAGGTCAACATCGTTGAACATCACCCCCTTGGATGGCCTTCCAGTGCTTAGCACGTGGTACGTACTCCCTGGAGCATATTCATCACCTGGAAGCAGAGGTAGTGCGTGCATCTTAAGAGTCAGGCAGCCATGGGACACCTGGGTGGCTCAGCAGTTGAGCATCTACCTTCGTTCGGCCCAGGGTATGATCCAGGGATCCTGGGATCGAGTCTCACGTCTGGCTCCCTGCAGGGAGCCTGCTTCTCCCTCTGCCTGCGTCTCTGCCTCTCTCTCTCTGTGTGTCTCTCATGAATAAATAAAATATTAAAAAAAACAAAACCAACAAAAAAAAGAGGCAACTATATTCCTGTCCTGCCTCTGCTAATCTGGACAAATAATTTCCCCTCTGGACCTCACTTTTCTCATCTGTAAGATGGGGGCAATTCTATTTACCCTGCCGGCTTGCTGGGACCATGGAGAAGACTTGGGTCTGACCAGGCTATAAGATCTGCCAAGGGGTGGTGGAGGGAGAGAGAGAACTCCAAATAGTGCCCAAGGGCTTGATCACATCTAGTTTCAAGTTCAAAGAAGTCTGTGAGGGGCTGGCAGTGACAGTTCAGTCGGACTCTGAATGAGGACCAGCACTTCTGGATGATAAGGGTGATGGAAACAGGGCCCCAGCTCCACAGGCTAAAGGATGAGTGGGGTGGCTTTGGCTCTGTTGGGATGGAGTGGAGGGGATTCTAGTGGGGGAGAGGGCAGGTAGAGGAGAGAGGTAAGAAGCGTCAGATGTGGGCTTTTGGGCAAGTTCCAGCGAATCCTGTCCTGTCCAGAGCAGGAAGCAAGGCACCAGTTGTGAGTTCAGCATGTGTCCAGGGAAGCCTGGGGCTGGGTCTTGAGCCACAGCTCCGGGATCGGGTGCCGCTTCTCTCCTTTTCTGCGTCCACTGCCCAGGAAACCCCGTGGATCTCATGAGCCTTCAGGACCAGTCCTGAACTGATTATTCCTGTTTCAGGCTCCTGCCTGGATCTCTCTCTCCCCTAATCTCCAGGGTCCTTTCCAGCAGCTCCTTAGCCCTCTCCCCAGAGATCTTCAAGGTCCTCTCCCCAAACTGAGCTCCGGATTTTCTCCCTAGGTCTGTTCCTCCCACAGCTTTTCCATCTCAATAATGGCAGCTCTATCCTTCCAGGTGCTCAGGCCAGACCTCGGAGTCATCCCTGACCCCACTCTCGTGCTCGCCCATCGGCGCACCCTGTGGGCTCTGCTTGCCAACTACCTCGAGAATCCGACCTCTTCTCCCCAGCTCCTCGGCTCTACCCTGGGCCCGTCATGCACCATCTCTCACCTCACCTGGATGGTTGCCGAGCCTCCTAACTGGGCTCTTTGTTCCCCTCCCCACACATAGAAAAGTTTGCCAACCTTTGTCCTGGATATAATGTTAATTTAAATATTTAATGAACAAGGGCACCTGGGTCGCTCAGTCGGTTAAGCATCTGACTCTTGGTTTCAGCTCAGGTCATGGTCATGGGATCGAGCCCCAGGTCAGGCTCCATGCTCAGTGCGGAGTCGGCTTGAGATTCTCTCTCCCTCTCCGTGTGCCCCTCACCCAGCTTATGTGTTCTGGCTCTCTCTCTAAAATAAACAAGCAAAATCTTTAAGAATTAATAAATAAATATTAATGAACAGTTCCCAGGAGGACACAAGTGAATATTGGAGAGTCACTCTTTCCCCCTCTCCCTTCAATTCTGTTAAATTATCATCCCACTTGGAGGGAATGTCCAAAGTCTGGTCCAAAAAAAATAAAAGTATAAAACCTCAATTGTGGGACAGGCTTCTAACTCCCATGGGGAATACCCTGGAGCAAGGCAAACAGGCACCTGCCACAGCATCGTCCTCCCCTCCTCACTCCCACCAGGCCCTGCCCTTGCCAGCCCCAAGGAGCTCTTGCCCAACGCCCCCATCGGGAGACTGGGAGATGCTCTCTGAGACTGGTAAGCACTGGCTAGTGCTTTATATGTTGCAAAGAGACACACAGGGGCTCAAGCTCACTGTCCAAATCTCTAACTGTACTATGGGGCTCCTCCGAGTGACCCCATTTCACAGAGGAAACGGAGGCACACAATGATGTGCTCAGGGTTCACTCAGCTAGGAACAGGCCTGAGATCTGAATCCAGGCCCATCTGAGTTGGGAGGCTCCTTATTTCTTCTCATTGGCTTCTTCCCTAGAACTAGCCCTATAGAGATGTGTCAGCCCAAGAAACAAGTGAGAACAACATTTATGAACTTCTCAGATATGCCCAAATCACCCCACAAGGGCCCCATCGCCTCAACCTGACCCCTGAGAGGCAGGTGTGCCAGGTAAACTGAGGTAGCATGAGGCCCTGGATAAATGCTGAGCTCTGGGGTCAGCCTCCTGCTCCTGCTTAGGCAGCTGGCCAGGAGAACATTGTTTTGATGGCTAATTGAGAGGTGGCCTATTCCCCTTGAAAGCCTACATTTTATAGATGGGGTCACTCTTGGCCATATGCCTGTCAGCTGACTCTTTCCTTCCTGTCTAGGCCGCCTGCAAGGATCTCATGGCTCCTGGGAGTGTTTTCTCTCCAGCAGCAACCCCCCCCCCACTGCCTCCGAGCCACCGCAGAGGTGGTGGGGATCTTAGAGACCCTGAAAAACAATAGGGAGTCAGAGGAGGGGACACACTTTGGAGTCACAGACCTGGCTTCAGGTTCCAGCGCTGACACGTACCCACTGAGTGACCAAGGACAGGTCACTTGATCTCTCTGAGCTTCAGCATCCTCCCGTGTCGGGCAGCACCCAGCTGCCCAATCCTTAGAGGAGGCCAAGGCGACAAGCGGGAGCGCTTCCCACCCCCACCTGCCCACCCCACTCACCTGTGGTCTGCATTTCCACTTGCAAGAGCCATTCATTTCACGGGTCCCCTTATTATCAATGAAGAAACTGAGTTGAGATTGCCCAGGCAACCTGGGGAGTTAGTGGTCTGTCGGGACAAAAGTCCTGACTGGGGCCAGAGCTCCCACCGGGTCTTGCCAGCCCTTGGCTCGCTCAGAGAAAAAGGCAGAATTGTCCTTGGCCTCAAATGGCCACAAGAGGGCGCCCGGGGAATTCCTCAGGGTCCCCCGTGTTTCCCAGGGAAGGAGCCTTTCAATCTATCTCAACCTTCCTGGCCTCCCAGGCCTGCAGCCCGAGCTCCTGCCGGTCAGGAACCCTGACCACGGCCCCTGG